GTGCTAAGCATTGTTCTGGGCTCCATTTGGATTTTGTTTCTTATTATATATGTATTCAAATATGAAGATTTTATTTCTGGGACTAAATGTAAGTCTAATGCCTGCATTTACACACAGTTCTAATTGAAGTCACTACCATTTACTAACTGCTTGCTCCAGATATCCTGAGTGGGCAATCAAAACTCTGACTGTAACAACGATTGATGATCTCCTACAATTATTTACGGGTGTATACAAAGATCTGTAGAGAAAAATGTCAAACCATCGACTAACAGCACTAGATTAACTTAATTGATTTTTTATTTATAAAAAAACATAAAATGTCAACGCCAGAGAATAATCGGGTTCAATTATCCACTGAAACAGATTCCATTCGGGTGTCAAAGGCAAAATAGCGGTGAAAAATGTACAAATGGATCACTGAAAATCAGTGATGACACCAGGTGTTCGAGATAAGGGTAAGCATGTCCTGTTCTACCGGCAGCACTGCCACTTATAAAATTTGTTAATGTCAGTTTGGGAGTTCAAATTTTGAAAAATATTAATTTTGTCAGGCCTTCATCGAGTTTGGGGCCAATATATTTATAAATTAACTAAACCAAGGTCTTCGAATTTGACATGCAAATTAAGGGCTCCACTCTGATCTGGTATGTGAGAATAGCCCAAGGTCCTGACCCAACATTAATTACCTATTACAGTGAAGTGCATAAGGTGGAGTCGTTTGTAATTATCTCTGCATGTGGTCTAGACATTACTGACGCAATGGGCAGTGCAGCTTACCTCTATATGGCGGTGCTTGAGGATTAATACTGAATAATAATAATACTGATCACATCAAAAATCAAAGGTAAACTCTTAAAAAAGTATCAAAATCAATGCTACCATTCCTGAAAGTTTCTAAATAATGCAACAGGTAAAAAACAAAAACCTAAGAACTTCAAAATTTGAAATCTACTATAAAGGGAGGTAACTCATGAAATGTACTGTAAAGGGAGGTAACTAGTGTTACCCATTCTCTGACAGCCTCAACACAAAACTACAAATATTATGAGTGAATTGTACCTGAATTATTATGGATAAGAAATATGGAACACCTATATACATTTTCCGACTTCTACATTACACGAGTATTGGGCAAATCTACTAATGGAATACTAAAATAAGTTAACTACTATTTAGACCCTACTGTCTATGACTGTCAGGCAGCAGGTGCTATCATGCTATATAACACCATCTTCCAAAGGCAAGGGAGTCAACTGACTATAAAAGTCCACCGAAACATGAATAATAATCCCTTGCCTCAGGAAGATGAAAACATGACCAAACACAACCTGAATCTACAACATACACTGAGTTGGTGGTCTTTGGTCCGAAGCCACAAATATCTCTTTTGACAAATGCCATTTCTTTATTCATACAAAAACATCAGCAAAACCTCAATAGTCCACAATTAGTAACTAGTCGCAATCATATTTTTTCCTAATGAAATATTACTAACTGTTCTATAGTAAAATCTCTGTAAGAATATTAATATACCATATTCGACATAATAAGCGCCCATGGCAATATTTTCTAATATATTGGATAGTAAACAATCTCAATTAGCACCCCTTTCTAAATTTTCAGAAGAAGTAAGTGCAGTATTTAGACCAGCATATCTGATTTCTCGATCTCAAAAAAGAGAGTTAAACATCAAGTTCCAAATGTCAATAATAAAGGCCAAACCATTATATTGTTGTGGATATTATATAACCCTCTTGTTTCTGAGAGCCATGTCATGTAACCAAAAAGGGAGTACATCATAGGAATATTTCTCTGTCTCAAAAACAAAGTCAAACATCAAGTTCCAAATGTCAATAATAAAGGCCAAACCATTATATTGTTGTGGATATTATATACCACTCTTGTTTCTGAGAGCCATGTCATGTAACCAAAAAGGGAGTACATCATTGGAACATTTTATTGCTAAAAATCACAATGTCTGACTCAAAGTGGTAGCAATATCAAGCAAAATCGTTTCAGAGAGCAGACATCAAAATTAGATCAAGAACTCCCAAATCCTTCTCTGAAATTGCCTGGTCAAAACTTACTCCGGGTTCATCTGACACGACACTCCATGAAGGGTTGTTATATCTTCAAGTAGAGAGGTTAATTATGATGAGATTGAATGCAGACTTTGCTAAATGATAGATGGGGACAAAATCCTCCTTTAAAATATCATAAAAGAAGTCTTATTATGTATTAGTCTGTTGAGTGACTGACGTCATTCGTAACGTAATAATCATTTAACATGTATAATCTGAACGAACTCTTCCATCAATCAGAGATGTCACTTTCATTCTGGCAAGAATGCCATGCTTAAACAAACTGACACAAAATAAGAACAGTATTTGTCATACACATTAATTATCTCGAACACGTTGATCAGTGCTTTAAACTGTCAATAACTTCTACAAGCTGCCAGCACTTAACAGCAGAATTGTAGGAACATATGTAACCATGGTAACAGATCACCATGACGACACATTTCTGGCCTCCGCCATCACCCAGCTGCTGCTGCAATTGCTGGAATACACATACTAATGATAAAATAACAAACAAGAATCTGACAATATATACATAACAAAACAGAAGATATCACAGTCTTATAGGAAGCAAGCCTCTCATGGCTGACAATGCATGGGGCCTTCTCAGCAACACAGCACCTCCGAACAGCAGGGCCAAGATACTCAACTACATCCTTAGTCATGGAGGAGTTTGAGGATTCTAAAAAAGGGGATTTTTTTTAAAAAAGGGGTTCGAGGATTGTAAAAAAAGGGCTCACACAGTACCCAAGTCGGGAAGTGAGCCAAAAACAAGTGATGGGATGACACTGTCTGAAAAGACAATAGGGATGAAACAGGGATGTAACTTAAAACTAGCCCGCTTGCCCGGATCATCTTTTTGAATGAGGTATCCTAAGGGCCAGTAGAATTTCCAATATTTTTGGGGTATTGCTGTATGTTATCACAATTTGAGCTAGTAGATGTACGTGGTTAATTTTCATCACTAATTTAATCATCGACATCATCATCATCATCATAATAATAAGGGCTGTGTTGCTGAAAAGACGCACAAAATAGATGCACAAAACAGTAAAAACATAAATAAACAAACCAGACTAGCAAAAAAAGGGCATGTCTTGCAACTGGTCAATCTCTCACCACGTTGACAAACACGATACCACACCTGCTGCAGAGAGGCAAAAACCTCACACTGGACACTTCATACAACATACAACATGTTAAAATGCACCAAGTTGTTCAGAGTAACACATAGAGGGCTGCTGATGTCTAGATTAGCATGTGGCAGGGTGCGGTGACATAGAGCTGGTAATCCGGGTGTTATTGTTTGCGTGACATCATCAGTATTAAGTGAGTGAGTGAGTGAGTGAGTTTGGTTTAAGTCCGCTTTTAACAGTATTCCAGTCATATCACGGCGTGTCAACTTAATGTGGGAGGAAAGACCCAAGTGATGCAGGTCTTAGACGTTTACCAATTCGGTGAAACCCACGAGCACGGGTATGGTGCTGACAAACCTAGAAACATAATCGGGGCGAACCAGGATTCGAACCCACAATCATAGGTTTCTGGCGTGCCTAAGGGTCGCAACTCTGCACAGTGAATCGCGGCGTCTTAGACGACAGTCTACCTTACATGATTCGACCTTATATGGTCACACCTTGTATGATCCGACCTTATATGGTCACACCTTGTATGATCCGACCTTATATGGTCAGACCTTGTATGGTCACACCTTGTATGATCCGACGTTATATGGTCACTCCTAATATGATCCGACCTTATATGGTCATATCTTGAATGATCCGACCTTATATGGTCACTCCTTGTATGATCCGACCTTATATGGTCACATCTTATATGATCCGACCTTATATGGTCACATCTTATATGATCCGACCTTATATGGTCACACCTTGTATGCTCAACATTACCCATGAAGCATCTTACCCATTTCTTGACACCATTGACCCTTTTCCTTTATGTAAATAAATAATGCTAACAGTTAGATCATTACTGCAGGTAGTGATTGAACTGTATGGTGAGTCATTGTTGGCAAGGTGCATTGCTTTCGTCAGTTTAATACAAGCATACATCACTTCATGGTAGCTGCTGTTGCTGCACCTCCTCATCCGTTCCTCACAGAAAATCAGTCTTTCATTGAATTCTTTATAAGGATTCCAGTTAGAAAACAATATTCTGAACAGGTTTCTAAAAACAAGATGGCTACCTTCTTTAGAGCGAGGCTCAATAGGATTAAGAAGTAATGGGTTCCGTATTCGACATAATAAGCGGCCCGCTCTAATATGCGCTCACTGTGATATTTGCTGTGATTATTCGTGTATAATGCACACTCGTTTGTTATATGCACCCTTAATTATGGGCTATTAAATTCTGGGAAAATATATCTGTCATGTATAATATGCACAGACTTTTCTTTTGTATCATTTCAGGTACACAAACCTAGAAATTTACGATCTGTTTTTTTTTCACCAAAATTATATTCTAATAAGAGCCCCCTATTTCTAATTTTGAGTGCGCCCTGAGCGCTTATTACGTTGAATACGGTAATACAAAATTATTACACTCTCATGTGTGTCATACTGATTTGACATAATTTGTGTAAGAATTCATGTATTACCCTCAATCTTGCTCGGGAAATACAAGAATTCTGACATCGTTTGGTGAAATCAATAAGACACACATGCTCATATAATAATATGTATTTAAATCGAGACTTTTCTTATGGACCATAGTCCTTTATGGTAGAGTGTAGAAAACCTGATATCAAGGGGGCAATGACTGAGAGTTACGGACACCACAGCTCCATAGTGTAAGTACTGATAGTATAAATATACAAAATCGGTCATGATATGCATAACAAATATTAGAGCACAAAAGTTATCGTTTGATCTTGTATTCCTCTTTGATTTCTTTTGGTTCGCAAAGCTATGATGTCCGTAGAATGTTCTACACAATCACGAATAGACAGTTGAATAGATAATAGACCAATAGATAATAACAGTCACGAAATCAAAGGAAAACGATTTCAATATCACTTCCTGAAATTTCACCATCTCAGATATTCTAAGAGGGACGATTTAACCACACATATTTCTGATATGCTGAATCTCAAACTAGCCAATTTAAGGATCAACAATTATCATCCATATTAACAACCTGAACAGCTAGTTTGTTATCATAAACAAACAAGCACACGCCTTAGTTTGTAAACAGTTTGTGAGGAATGTTGACATGGGAAGACGTAGTAAGTTGTGGGACAAGTATCAGATGGTCGACTTGAGAACCTGGAACCGCTTGAGAGACATTCTGACCGATCCTAGTTCCTTGTCCACTTGATCCAATCTTCCCTCCAGCTCACCCTGGAACAAAAGACAGATCAACACCAGGTCAGTCTGGGAGGGAAACAATCGGAGTGGGTGAGTGAGTGAGTGAGTGACTGAGTGAGTGAGTTGGGTTTAACGTCCCTTTTAACAGTATTCCAGATCTCCAGGTCTCAGATGAGAAAAATATCATGAAGTCTGACACAAAAGTTACCAGCCACGGGCAGGCATTATTTTGGACACTGATGTACAAGTATACATGTAATGGTTAACATAAAAAGGATATTGTAAAAGCTTGTCAGGACACATGAATACAATCACGCACATGGAACCGATTATGGTTTCTTTTTTATTGCACCAAAAGGATTAGTTGCTTATATCGACAAGCAGAAGATGCTGAAGACCAATTCTAACACGGATATTCACAGGGGGCATCAATATAGACCGACACTAATAGCTTACAGTGTGCATTGGTTTCTTCATGACATCTTCCCAAGGCAAGGGAATTAAATGACTACTAAAGTCCAGTTTCCATCATCGCAGAACTAGGCTGGAATTTCGTGGCACGATTGTAGCGCCACCAGTAGCTATTATGAGTTATGTCCCTTCTATGTCCCTACCACCGACCAATCAAATTCCACCTCTCATATTAACTTACATTTGCTTCGATCAAAATAGCAGCGCCCAGTCAAGACGATCTATTCAATAATCAAGATCTATATTGCAATAAAACAGATCTTATTTCGCAAAGTGCATCAAATTCCTTGAGCACCTTGATTAAAAACATGAAATCATTTGGAAAATATCTGTCAACATCGAGTTGACGGTACACATGTAAACCCTGCAACTGACCGAAATCTGCACGGCAGTTTATGACTGGTTGCCGATTTTGTAACCCGATTTTAATTGGACTGTGCATAGACTCGTTAATCCAGCCAAAATATAACTTAATAAGTGCAGGCCAGTTCGGCAAGTTTGTTTGTTTGTTGTTTAATGCCCCACTTAGCAATATACCAGCTATATGACGGTGGTCTGTAAATAATCGAGTCTGGACCAAACAATCCAGTGATTGACATCATGAGCAGTGATCCACGCAATTGCGATACGATGACATGCATCGACCAAGTCAGCGAGTCTGACCACCTGATCCCGTTATTCGTCTCTTATGACAAGCATACTCACCTTTTGTGGCAAGCATGGGTTGCTGAAGGCCTATTCTACACCGGATCTTCACAAAGTCAGTCAACTACCTTGCCTTGGGAAGATGATGTCATGAATTTGTAATCAAGTTATTAGTTAAACAAGTATTTGTCACAGAAGTGACGAAATGTCCCCCGCCTGTATATACACCAAAATACCAAATATGAAGACAATCCAGCGATTAGTTCTTGAGATATCGCGGCAACACCGTTTTCCAACTCCAAAAGCAGATTTGCCTGCTGTGACCTTGAAAATGGGGTCAAGGTCACCAAAACCGACTGGTTTCTGCGGAGTCTGTATATACACTATAGTTCCAAATATGAAAACAATCCAGTGTTTAGTTCTTGCGATATCGCGGCAACTCTGTTTTCAATCTCCAAAAGCAGATTTGCCTGCTGTGACCTTGAAAATGGGGTCAAGGTCACCAAAACGGACTGGTGTCTGCGTTGTCTGTATATACACCATAGTTCCAAACATGAAGACAATCCTGCGATTAGTTCTTGAGATATCGTGGCAACACCGTTTTCCAACTCCAAAAGCAGATTTACCTGCTGTGACCTTGAAAATGGGGTCAAGGTCACCAAAACCGACTGGTGTCTGCGGAGTCCGTATATACACCATAGTTCAAAATATGAAGACAATCCAGTGTTTAGTTCTTGAGATATCGCGGCAACACCGTTTTCCAACTCCAAAAGCAGATTTGCCTGCTGTGACCTTGAAAATGGGGTCAAGGTAGCCAGAACCGACTGGTGTCTGCGTTGTCTGTATATACACCATAGTTCCAAACATGAAGACAATCCTGCGATTAGTTCTTGAGATATCGCGGCAACACCGTTTTCCAACTCCAAAAGCAGATTTACCTGCTGTAACCTTGAACATGGGCTCAAGGTCACCAAAACCGACCGGTGTCTGCGGAGTCCGTATATACACCCTAGTACCAAATATGAAGACAATCCAGAGATTAGTTCTTGAGATATCGCAGCAACACCGTTTTCCAACTCCAAAAGCAGATTTACCTGCTGTGACCTTGAAAATGGGGTCAAGGTCACCAAAACCGACTGGTGTCTGCGGAGTCTGTATATACACCATAGTTCCAAATATGAAGACAATCCAGTGTTTAGTTCTTGAGATATCGCGGCAACAAACAGGTGGGACGTACGGACGGACGTACGGACGGTCGTGAATACTATATCCCCCGCTTCGCGCTTCGCGCGGCGGCGGACAAAAACATATGGAAGATATGCTGACAAGGCCCTGACCATGTTTTTCATGCTTACATCAACATGATCAATAAACAAGCCATGTGCTTCCTGCAAAGATACGACAATATTACTATTTCTAGATTTACCATGGTTACCAAAATTACATACCTGGTCTTGAATCATCTTCCTGTTTCGACCATGAATTGGAATTTTGATCAGTGCTGACTCCAGCTGAAAATATATGTCATTCTATCAAAATCACTTTCACACTTATTTAATTCATACTAGAATTTCAACAGGACAACTTCATTGGTTTTAACAGATCCTTGGAAACCAAGATGCTTAGAACCAACAAGTATTTTCCACACAAAACATTCCCCTTATTTCTTGTTGGACTTTACAGGGTTTGCATAGTGAATTGACGACTGGCTCCCCATATCCCCAGTGAGAAGACTGGTCTAAGTGATGTATACTAGGGAAATATTCATGGCGTAAAGTACCTTTCTCTTTTCAGCCTGCAGATCGTCATAGTGCCGCTCTAGTTTGTCGACCGTCTGAAGTCGTTCTCGTAGTCGCTCTTCTCGAGTCTGAAACACCAGGTTGGTCAAGAATAAGACAATGACAGTATTAACTACGTACCAGGTTGGTCAAGGATAACACAATGACAGTATTAACAATGTGCCAGGTTGGTCAAGGATAACACAATAACAGTATTAACTATGTACCAGGTTGGTCAAGGATAACACAATGACAGTATTAACTATGTACCAGGTTGGTCAAGGATAAGACAATGACAGTATTAACTATGTACCAGGTTGGTCAAGGATAACACAATGACAGTATTAACTATGTACCAGGTTGGTCAAGGATAACACAATGACAGTATTAACTATGTACCAGGTTGGTCAAGGATAAGACAATGACAGTATTAACTATGTACCAGGTTGGTCAAGGATAACACAATGACAGTATTAACTATGTACCAGGTTGGTCAAGGATAACACAATGACAGTATTAACTATGTACCAGGTTGGTCAAGGATAAAACAATGACAGTATTAACTATGTACCAGGTTGGTCAAGGATAACACAATGACAGTATTAACTATGTACCAGGTTGGTCAAGGATAACACAATGACAGTATTAACTATGTACCAGGTTGGTCTAGGATAAAACAATGACAGTATTAACTGTGTACCAGGTTGGTCAAGGATAAAACAATGACAGTATTAATATGTACCAGGTTGGTCAAGGATAACACAATGACAGTTTTAACTATGTACCAGGTTGGTCAAGGATAAAACAATGACAGTATTAACTATGTACCAGTTAGTTATTCTTGGTAATGTTGTATGTTGATTAGTGATTTCAAAGGCAGATAAGAAATTCAAAACCAAGATGGCAAAGAAATCTAGCTGAATCATATTAGAAAACTGCAACTGATTTTTGATTTGGTGGTCAAAGTGAACTATAAAGGGTCTGTCTGATCTCCAGGTATTTAATCGGACAAAAAGATCTGACATTAATACGACCGAGAGATTAAAGACTGGACAGCTGAGGAGGAGCCAATCTCATTAAAATCAGACCTCAGTTCTCGCTACCGCTAAACAAAGATCTGAGGACATCCCATTAGGGGTCACGTCAGACCGACCTTCATCCGACCAATCAGAGCATCGCTTACCAGATTATGAAAGTGACAGTCGGAATGTGATTTCTAATCACGCAACCTCCAAAACTTTAACTCCGAACGATAGTTACGGGTTTAACGACTGAATCCATACAATCAAGACCATCTATTAGCCATTCCAGAATGTTCTTTTGTTGAGGTTTCAAATTTGTAATCAAGAGGTCAAAATATGTTTCGAAGCGTAGTCGCCAATTTGAAATTAGTGCCGTAAAGCACAAGAAAGCTGCCTTCTGATTGGTCATTCCATTGGTCAGTCAAAGGTCGCACAAGGTCGGTCTGACGTGACCTGTAATGGGATGTCCTCAGATCTTTGTTTAGCGGTAGCGAGAACTAAGATCTGATTTTAATGAGATTGAGGAGGAGCAGGCTTACCATGTTCTGTCTGGGAGACGTCTGAGATTTGGCGGGTCGTGCCATGGACGTGTCTACATCCTCCCACTGTGGACGAGACACGTAATTCCCTGATCGGACCTTGGCCAGGGTGCCCTCTACAGACTTGCCTCCTGTGGAAGGTTGAAAAGAATTCATTGAACATTCTATTTACACATACCCATTCCTTGGTCATGGTGGTAACATATTATAAGCTTTAGGGAATGTGCACATATTTCATGTTCTTTGCACTGCCTCCATGATCTAGTGGCAGAGCATCTGCCCAGAGAGCAGAAGGTCCGTGGTTCGATCACCAAAAAACAATAAAAGATGGCACTTGTTGTTACCCTGCCTGTCACTTGGCAAGAAGGGGATAAAACAAGGGGTGGTCGGATCAGAATCCTCCACCTACCATATATATTCTGTACCATGTTCATTTTTCAGTTGTTCTTGACAACTCTATAAGGATGTATACCGAAACATCGCCATTACAGTAAAATAAAGAAGTTCTTATCCATAAATTCTTATTGTGTCTACTTTGTAATCTTGAAAGTGATGTTAAACCCCATCACACCTCAAATTCTCTCCAACTCAAATCCCATACACATCTTCTCCCACCACATTCGTCTCACTGACCTGGGCTTTTCCTGGTCGACACCTCCACAGCGGAAGGGACAGCTTGCTCTGACCGTGACCTTGACAATTTGTCCTTGGTGATCTTTTGGCTGCTCTCATGACCATTGGTCAAGTTGTTCAGACTGACGTCCATCCTCGTTGGAGTGGATTGTTCTTTGGGCTGCAGTTTTAGTTTGGTCCGCTTCGGAGACAGGATACCATTGTGAGTTCCTACAGAATCAATTTGAGTATCGGACCGAGACATATTCCGACTTTGACTTTTGGGTTTGGGTGAGTTTGATGACTTTCCCGACGAGGTATTTTTTGGTTGAGATCGTGATGAATCAAGTGTTGAGTTAGAGGCAGCCTCTCTGTACCTTCCTGGGTAGGCGACTTCACTTCCGTAAAATTTCTTCTGCAGTTTTGGCTGGAAACCATCCCTGAAGCTGGTGGAGGAGTCAGTCTGAAGTCTGCGAAGCTCCCGCTCGGCCTTCAGTAGAGGTGAGGGCGCGCTGTCACTGTCAACATCCGACTCTGGAGATGATTCCACTCTCCGCTGACCCCCGGGTTCACTCACGTACAACCTGCCGATACAATTAGCTGAATGAGATAGTGAGTGAGTGAGTTTGGTTGAACGCCGCTTTTAACAGTATTCCAGTTATATCGCGGCGTGTCAGCTTAATGTGGGAGGAAAGCCCGAAGTGATGCATGTCTCAGAAGAATATAAAAACTAAAGTCATCCTTGAACTTACTGATGCTGCCTCTTCTAAATGCCACCAGCAACAGCTGAGAATCAGTTTTGGCTCTGATGGGAACAAAACACCCAAGTACTCTTCACCTCAGACCCGATATGGAGTCCAGCACCCGATATTTGCCGAGACTAGACCAGAGCTCCAGATAACTCTTTGAGCATTTGAGTTTTTACCCGAAGATTTCTATTTTAATTGGGTTATTACATTTTTCATTGGGTAACCTATATTTTTTCACTCATCTATTTATCACTCTATTGGGTTTTTCCCAAATTGAGTACACATTTTGAGATATCAAAAAAAGAAAAGAAAAAGGTTCTACATGTATATAACGGTTTTAAATATAAGGCTTGACTTGGAAAGTAACTTAGCTCGTAATTGGGTTTGTAAAATTAGCCCAGTTGTACGCACAGCTGAAAAAGCTTCATTGGGTATTTACACGTGCTGTTTTCGTACATTTGAGTTTTTCATTTAATGCATGCGTTTCTGTGCGTAAGTAAATTGAAAGTAATTGGGTTTTGAATATTCTTGGGGGGTATTTTATGCAAATAGGCAGCTTATCCATTAGTCATTTGTTAGTCGCCTCTTACAACAAGCATAGTCGCCTTTTACAGAAAGCATGGGACCTGAAAACCTATTCTATGCTGGATCTTTACGGGTCAATAACCAATAGAAACCATGGTAACATATTGCTGAGTGTGGCGTTAAACAAACAAACAAACAAACAAACTTCAATGACCAACAATGTGAAAAAATGGGTATTGTAGTTGGGGTTATAAATACACATTTTTAAGAGGCCACCCTGCTAAGAATGTTGAAGCAAACTCAATACCTAAATCAGGTTTCCACAAGGACATATATACAGACGCACATCCAGAAAAGGGAGGGTTCATATAATCCCCAGTCACGATATTCATGAAATTTTCAAAGTACCTTTCCATGGACCTGTATGGCACAGCAGGAGTCCTGCCATTGGTTATCTCCCCTTGATTCGGTTCAGCTGAGCGATGAATATCACTATATCCGTATGAGTCTTCGTAGCTGGTCTTTGCTGACGCCATACTGTGAAAAAAAATACTTTATTACTTGCCCGTGAAGAGATCACCCGTTTAATAAACATACAGCTTTATTACACTTTGTGTAATACCAAAACGCGTGCTTATGTACTCTCGGAACACGTTTCACGAACAAATATTGAAAGCTCTCAACATCCCTTGGCGTATTCAACGACATTGTGTGTGGAGATGATAGATCACTGGGAGGAGCTTATGCACACTCGATGACCCCAGCAACCTTGTTGCTAGGCTGACGTCACATGGCATTGTTTCGCCGATGGATCTTGCAACAAAATTCCACAAATTACGTCATCGGGTATTGTGACGTGATTGTAAACTTTGAGGTGCAAGGCCCCGTTCCACAAGGCGATCGTACTCTAGCGCAACGACAGTCGTTAGTCTAAGTTAAATTATGTGAGTTGTGATAGCCTTAGCACTACGATAATTTTGTGGGACGAACGCCTGAATTCTAAAGGTGGACCATTGTATGATATTAAATTCATACGTTTCAACTTTTGACGTGTTTGAAGTATTATTCTGTTAAACTCAATTGGATTATGCCATGGATCGTGTAGGTGTCAACTATTCACTCGTTTCATAAAATTGGTATTACACGGGAGCTCGTTTAGTATTCTATATATATCATAGCCTGGTACATGGATGGATTCAAAACTTCAAAACACAACAAATTATGACAATCGCAAGAGGAAAACAAATTTATATTTGAAATTGGAAACTAAATAGGGGTCAAAAATTTGAAAGCATGTGTAACTTTATCTTTGTAAACTTTCCAAAATGGGATCCATTTAGTCAAATATGGGCTTGCTATAACATTATTTTCAAATTAATGGGCTTTTTTTAACATGGCTCCCATGAAGAAATACTTTGTCTACACAAGGTTCAAATTATTTTTTACAAACAGCCCAGCATGGTCAGACACAAATCGCTGATGCAGACAACAATTTTGAGGTCACATTTCAAGGTACACCTGCACGAGTGCATCTTTGCCAAGACATGTTTGGAAGGTTAAAGACTGCACATGCGCGCAATACAAACACAGCAGAACATCTCTAACCTCAGTGCAATTGCTGCCTTGTGTTTCAAGTTCTCATTCTCCCTCCCAAGCTGTTTGTTATGAAGTTCCAACTTGGAAATAATCCTGAAATTCAAACAGAACCAGTTGTAGCATTGCAGCATGCTAACACAGAAGGTTTTCAAACATCTCTGCCTTGTTTATATTGAATTAACTTCCCTATATTGTTACATTTATGCAGGTATAAACGCAAAAACCAGTGTGCAACACTGTGCCCACCGATTTTGATGTTATAATTCCACAAACAATATCAAGAGTCAGTTCTTCAACATCAATCAAATCTTTACCATGTTTACCTATTTATACGAGTCAGCACACAAAAATCTTCAAAAGTTATCATGTTGGGATGCATAACCCAGCAATATTCCTACTATATGATGGCAGTCTGTAAATAATCAAGTCTGGTCCAGACAATCCAGTGATTGACATCATGAGCATTGATCTACACAATTTAGATACCATGACATGCATGAACCAAGTCAGCAAGTCTGACCACCTGATCCCGTTAGTCGCCTCCTACGACAAGCATAGTCACCTTTTACAGCAAGCATGGGTTGCTGAAGACCTATTCTACCCTGGAATCTTCACGGGTCTATAACCCATAGAAACCATGTTAACAGTCAGGTGACAGAGGAATAACAAAAGTTGAAAATGACAGTCTAGCATTACAAACACACACTGGCTACACCCTTGATACTACTTCCCTATAACAAGTAAGACCAATCAGAATCTTCCAATAAGTATTTGGATAACATTGTATATTATACACCGCCCAAGGTCCTCTGAACGGATAACCACACACCTCTTCAAGAAATTGTCAATTTTACATGAAATTCAATTCAAATACTTATCCTGTCTCACACATTGCATTTTGTTTCTTTTTTGCAAACAAGAGGGGAAAACTTGCTCGCAAACGCAAATGTTTGCAAGAAACATCCCTCCAGGACACATTATGATGAAGAGCCAATGTAGAGGCGAGTGCATGTGTCTCGTGTGGATTGCAAGTTCTGGGAGGAGGTAAATTGGCATCAGCATAAGCCTGGAGAATGGCAGATTGTAACCAAAAGGTGACACTAGTGCGGGAAACCTCAGAGCAGGAAGCCGGAGACAGAGGAAAAAGCGGGTGTTTACAATTCTGACAAAGGCCCTTTATAGCAGTAATATTTGCTTGAAGTGCCCTAACAGGGCAGAGTGTCAACACCTGCTGGTTATCTGTATTGATGATTGAGGAAAGCAGGGGAATAGTCATGGACAGGCTGCTTTCGGGAAACCTCAGAGCAGGAAGCCGGAGACAGAGGAAAAAGCGGGTGTTTACAATTCCGACAAAGGCCCTTCATAGCAGTAATATTTGCTCGAAGTGCCCTTAAAAGGGAGAGTGTCAACACCTGCTGGTCATCTGTATTGATGATTGAGGAAAGCAGGGGAAGAGTCATGGACAGGCTGCTTTCAGGGAACCTCAGAGCGGGAAGCCGGAGACAGAGGACGAATCAGGTGTTTACAATTCCGACAAAGGCCCTTCATAGCAGTACCGGGTAATATATGCTCGGGGAAGCAGGGGAAGAGTCATGGACAGGCTGCCTTCGGGTTGGGCGTTTCAAGTTACGAATGGCTGCATTCGTAGGCAAGGTTTTCACTTCTTGTTCAAAAAAGGGACAAAATGCTACATGTGAGATAGAATAAGTAAGAATTGAGCTTTTATGGAAAGGAAATTGTTCAAAATATACCTCTGTTCAGCCAGCAACAAAATTTGGTACTCAGTGAGGGACGAGATGGTAATGTAAACGAAAAACCTTGAAGCGTGTAACAGGCAGATCCCCAGGAAGTTGAGAATGTAACTTGAGTGTTCACTGAACCATGCCTTGAGCATGCTATAGGGCATTTAATAATTTGCATTTATGACTATATTTTTCAAGATTCATATAATTATTCTATAACTATGTTTGTAATACACCCTTGTGGAAAATCCAGGGTAGGACAAGTAACCCGCAACCTATACTAGCCATGCAAGGCAACACAATGGATCTGGAGGTCATACTCAATCTCATTAAAATCAGATCTTAGTTTTCGCTACTGCTAAACAAAGATCTGAGGACATCCCATTACGGGTAACGTCAGAACGACCTTTCGTTAATTTTGACCGACCAATAATATGACTGACAAGAAATTGACATTAGCCAATCAGAAAGCAGCTTTCTCAAGCTTTACGACACTGGGTTCAAACTGGTGACTACTTTCGAAACATATTTTGACGTATTCTCGATTAAAAAATTCAAACTGATAAGAAGAACATTCTGGAATGGCTTATAGGTGGCCTAGATTGTATGGATATAATCGCAAAACCGATAACTGTCATTCGGAATACCCCATGTTAGATATTTCGTGGTTGCATGATTAGAAAACACATTCTGACTGTAACTTTCACGATCTGGTAAGCGACGCTCTGATTGGTTGGATAAAAGGTCGTTCTGACGTGACCCGTAATGGGATGTCCTCAGATCTTTGCTTGGCGATAGCGAGAACTAAGATCTGATTTTGATGAGATTGAGGTCATACTCAATGACTTAGTTGACTGAGTGCCACAGTACCTGAGCCATGGTACCTCATATGAGTCACTGGATTGTCGGGTCCAGACTTGATTATTTACAGACCACCATGATATACCCAAAACACTGCTGAATGTGGTATTAAAACAGCAAACATACATACAAGACAAATTGAAAATGCTAAGGACCACCCAAACTTCTTTTGAGTAGTATATATACAGTCAAGTCTTGTTAATCAGACTCTCGTTATTCCGACAATCGGCTTTATCCGACACTAATGATGGGAACCGATTAAATCAGTGCTATTTAGACCCGTTAATGATAGTCTCGCACTCCAACTCCGACACACCTAATTTGCAACGAATTACTGAAATCACTCATTAATCAGTCTCGTTAATCCGACACAGTGATCAGCGTACTCTGTGGTCATCTGCCCGCGAGTACACAGCCCGTGTTTTGATGCGAGACGAGTCGGCTGGTAGCTGCATATTACAACGGCTGCAGAGATAAACTTGCTTAACTATAAACAATCAATGCTTTAAATATAGAAAACAGGATTAATCACATGCTTGGATTACCTCAATCTCATTAAAATCACGCAGAACAACCTTTCGCAAACAATGACCGACCAATGAAATGAGTAACAGGAAGTCAATGTTAGCCACTTAGAAAGCAGCTTTCTTAAGCTTTGCGGTACCAGTTTCAAACTAATATTTTATTTTTATTTTTTTATTACGTGTTTGTATCGTTATCTATCGTGTAGTTGTCCGATTTTCGATCACGAACATTGATATTACTTAATTTCGTTTATCCGCCATATTCGTTAATCAGACATAATCATATGCAACCAGTCATGTCGGATTAACGGGACTTGACTGTGTATGTATGTATATATCTATCTATCTATCTATCTATCTATCTATCTATCTATCTATCTATCTATCTTATCTATCTATCTATCTATCTCTTATGGGGTAACTCCACTTACTTGTCACGTTCTGCCACCTCTTGGCGAGACAAGTGTAGTTTTCTATCACTGTCCCCCATACGACCCTGAAAGAAGCAAGTGACTCAAGTTACTATCACTATGATCATGATAAGCTATAAAGTGAGTGTGAGTGAGTGAGTTGGGTTTAACGCCGCTTTGAACAGTATTCCAGTTATATCACGCCGTGTCAGCTTAATGTGAGAGGAAAGCCAGAAGTGATGCAGGTCTTAGGTGTTTACCACTTCGGTGAAACCCACAACCTCGGTATGGTGCTGACAAACCTAGAAACATAATCGGGGCAAACCGGGATTCGAACCCACAATCATAGGTTTCTGTCATGCCTGAGGGTGAGGTGAGATGAAATGGGCTTGAACGTCGCATCCAAGATTACTGCACTTACATAGTGACATGCATGCATGTGGCTGCTTGTACTAGTGTACAGACTAATACCAATTTTATAGTGCTAGCCCACTGAGATGCCATGCCGCAGTTGAACACGAATACAGACACAGACACAGTATACTGACTCCATGCCGACAACTTCTTGTTTTATGCCGAGAGATAGGCAGTAGACAACAAGTACCCTCTCTGAATGTCTTTTGGTATGATGCGACCAGGGATCTAACCCCCGATCTTCCTCCTTCTATGACTAGACCATGGAGGCGGTCTTTGCCTAAGGGACACAACTCTGCATAGCGAAATGCAATGACGACTGGGGCACCCACGTACCCTGATAGTCTATAAAAGCCATCATCTGTGTGTTAACGATAACCTCATAACCAGTTCCAATAATGGCAGAAGTTGCAGGTAAGCCTAGTGTATTTCAAGGCAAATGCAAGTGTGGCAAAACCATTTGATAAACATCATTTTGGTAGTTGGTATTGAAAACTGAGCTTTGCCAAGCCCACAATCTGCCATCTTAATGATCTAGCATCTCATAGCCTTCATGTTCAGTATTTATCAGCATGATTTTGATATACCGTATTCAACGTAATAAACGCCCAGGGCGCTCTCTCAATTAGAAATAGGGGTCTTTATTAGAATATTATTTTAGTGAAAAAAACAGAGTTGAAAGATAAATTTCGTGGTTTATGCTGACGGCCTGAAAAGTTTATATACGACCGATGTATGTTTCCAGAATTTAATTGCCCATAATTAAGGGTGCATAAATAAGTCTTGTGTACATTTATGAATCGGACATGTCAGAAGGGGTGCTAATTGGGATTGTTCACAAGCCAATATATTAGCAAATATTGCCGTGGGTGCTTATTAGAGCGGGGCGCTTATTACGTCGAATACGGTAATGCATATTTGAATAACTTCAGTGGAGTCCATGGAGATTATCAGTATTACCAGTACATCACAGTTTGAAATGCTACTTAACATGTAACAGTGTGTTTGTAAAATACTGGTACAGTCAAACACCGTTGTGTCGAAGATGAAGGGACCTATGTAAATAATCCAAGTTATGTAAGATTCCACATAACCGAAAATGATAACTAAAGAAGGAATACGCAGGGAGCAAGCTTTCACTTTGCGACAACCCTGAACACATAACCGACAGATCAAAGTTTGATCCAACAGTGTTTGATTGTATACTGCATTTTTCATGCATATATTCATCTTGATGGCGAAGTCTACATAAGTGATCGAAAAAGCAAAACTATTGGCGCCCAGCTTTCAGTGGATAATGTGTCCATATATTGAAATGTCAAACATGTGAGGGACCAGTTCAAAAGTTTCATGTCAGATAAAAAACTTAATTTCTCAAATTTTGAGTCATACCCCTCCACCCCAACAGCCCAACTTCTGAAAATGTTGAATTTCCGAGTTTAGCATGTTTAGTGGCCTCCAATCTCATTAAAATCAGACCTTCATTCTCGCAAACGCTAAACAAAGATCTGAAGACATCCCATTAGGGGTCACGTCAGAACGACCTTTCATCCGACCAATCAGAGCGTCGCTTACCAGATTATGAAAGTGACAGTTGGAATGTGATTTCTAATCATGCAACCTCAAAAACTTTAACACATGCTTAACGACTGAATCCATACAATCTAGACCATCTATTAGCCATTCCAGAATGTTCTTTTGTTCAGGTTTCAAATTTGTAATCGAGGATTTCTCAAAATATGTTTCGAAGCGTAGTCGCCAATTTGACATTAGTGCTGTAGAGCACGATTGGCCACTCCATTGGTCGGTCAAAGTTCGCGCAAGGTCGGTCTGACGTGACCCGTAATGGGATGTCCTCAGATCTTTGTTTAGACGTTAAATGAGATTGAGTGGCCTCTTTTGTCACGTAGGTCAAACCTGTCACCTTATATTACGTACTGCACTAGATGGACTATTGCCAGCTAGGATAAAAGCCGACCTTGTGGAAAGACTGGATGTAATTAACAACTCCTAACAACATTAGAATGACAATAGGAAAAACACTAAAGAAATAAATGAATTGCAATACAAAATTCAGGCCAGGACGCATCACTAGAAATCAATGACAATATAATTACCCTTAAAATATCATGCTCTTTCTCCAAATCATCATACTTGTCAAGCAGCTGCAATTATAATAAAAAATTTCATTTTTAGTACACAAATTTGACAGCTATTATCCTGCCCTAAGCATCAAGTGAAGGTTTATATGAAACATGCCAGAGTTTCAGGGATGCTCAATCAAAAAGCAGCTATATATAATATTAATACAACATTGAGTGTTCGTCAGTGTGTGGGATTAACGCCACTGTACACAGTATTTCAGTTGTCACACGGTGTGTCAGATACGTCACACGATGTGTCAGATACGTCACACGGTGTGTCAGATACGTCACACGGTGTGTCAGGTGTGGGAGTAATAAGAAATCATGGAGACAACCACTTTGTTGAAACCCAGGGGTATTGTGCTACAAACAGAAACATCCTGGGATTAATATCCACCATGACAGGTTCCTGGCACATATAACATTGTATAAGGGATGCAAGTGAGTGAGGTGGGTTAACGCCGCTTTGAACAGTATTCCAATTATATTGCAGTGCATCAGTCTGATGTGGGAGGAAAGCCCAGAGTGATGCAAGTCTCAGACGTTTACCACTTTGGTGAAACCCACGAGTACGGGTATGGTGCTGACAAACCTAGAAACATAATTGGGGATAACTGAGATTTGAACCCATTATCCTAGGATTCTGGCATGCCTAAGGGACGCAACTCTGCACAGCCATTTTAAGCACCTTAGACAATACCCATGTCCCACCCCCACTCATGTCCCAACCCCACCAATGTCAACCCCAACCCCACCCCATCCATGTCAACCCCCAACCCATCCCACCCTTGTTAACCCCAAACCCACCCATGACAAAGCTCACCCCACCCATGTCAACTCTCACCCCACCCAACCATTGTCAACCCCCAACCCACCCATGTCAACCCTCACCCCACCCATGTCAACTCTCACCCAACCCATGTCAACCCTCACCTCACCCCACCATTGTCAACCCCCAACCCACCCATGTCAACCCTCACCCCACCCATGTCAACTCTCACCCCATCCCATCCTTGTTACCCCCCCCCCCCCCCTACCCATCCATGTCAACCCCCAACCCTACCCATGTCAACCCTCGTCCCACCCTTGTCAACCCTCACCTCACCCCACCCATGTCAACTCTCACCCCACCCATGTCAACTCTCACCCAACCCATGTCAACCCCCAACCCACCCATGTCAACCCTCACCCCACCCATGTCAACTCTCACCCCATCCCATCCTTGTTACCCCCCCCCCCCCCCCCCCTACCCATCCATGTCAACCCCCAACCCTACCCATGTCAACCCCCAACCCTACCCATGTCAACCCTCACCCCACCCATGTCAACCCCCACCCCAACCCACCATTGTCAACCCCCACCCCAACCCACCATTGTCAACCCCCACTACTGTTCTGTTGACACCATGTACGTACATACCCTCTTGAGAGCCTCCTTGTCCCGTCTATTGCTGTCTGTCAACTCATGTTGATGCTGAAACACAAGCAGACATGGCTAAAGCCTCACGCATACAATTCCTAGTACAATGAACAGAGGGGGTCTTCATGATATGGCACATCTACACCATAAAAAACCTTCATTTAAACATGCCATGTACAAGAAAAGAAAAACCAACCTTGTACGCATCTTTCAAAGCTTGGGCCTGCTGTCTGTTTTTAGCTTCAAGATCCCCACACTGACTATCCTTGTCTTTGACGAAAGAGTGAAGTTCGTCAACCCGCCCTCGTAGCTTCAACACCACTCGCTGCGACTCATCATAGCGTGTAGAGTAATCGGTCTGAAGGAGGAATATCTACATCAGTACTCATTGGGGAGGAAACAACTAGCTCCACAACAGCATGACAATACTTGGAGACTATATGAATAATGTACATGACAATACTTGGATACTGTGTGTGACAATACTTGGATAATGTATATGACAATACTTGGATACTGTGTGTGACAATACTTGAATAATGTGTGTGACAATACCGCGATAATGTATATGACAATACTTGGAAACTGCGTGTGACAATACCTGGATAATGTATATGACAATACTTGGATAATGTATATGACAATACTTGGATACTGTGTGTGACAATACCTGGATAATTTATATGACAATACTTGGATACAGTGTGTGACAATACCTGGATACTGAACATGACAATACTTGGATACTGTGTGTGACAATACTTGGATACAATGTGTGACAATACTTGGATACTGTGTGTGACAATACTTGGATACAATGTGTGACAATACTTGGATACTGTGTGTGACAATACTTGGATACTGTGTGTGACAATACTTGGATACTGTGTGTGACAATACTTGGATACAATGTGTGACAATACTTGGATACTGTGTGTGACAATACTTGGATACAATGTGTGACAATACTTGGATACTGTGTGTGACAATACTTGGATACAATGTGTGACAATACTTGGATACTGTGTGTGACAATACTTGGATACAATGTGTGACAATACTTGGATACTGTGTGTGACAATACTTGGATACTGTGTGTGACAATACTTGGATACAATGTGTGACAATACTTGGATACTGTGTGTGACAATACTTGGATACAATGTGTGACAATACTTGGATACTGTGTGTGACAATACTTGGATACAATGTGTGACAATACTTGGATACTGTGTGTGACAATACTTGGATACAATGTGTGACAATACTTGGATACTGTGTGTGACAATACTCTCAGTCTCAATTATCCAGTGTATCTCCATCACCAATTTGTAATCATAGTTTTATTTCAAGTCAGGTTCCAATGCCACAACACTGTTTAATCAAACTACACTATTCCGTTACGATTCCCGTTACCACTAATACTCCAATTGTCTTGTTACATACTGACTCAATAAGAACAGGGCACAAGTGGATAGATGAAGACTTCCCTCCCCTTGTCTTGAGACTAAGGAAAACACCCTTTCCTTCTAGAAAATCAGGGGCGGTTGGGTAACCTAGTGGTTAAAGCGTTCGCTCGTCACGCCGAAGACCCAGGTTTGATTCCCGACATGGGTACAATGTGTGAAGTCCATTTCTGGTGTCCCCCGCCGTGATATTGCTGGAATATTGCTAAAAGCGGTGTAAAACCATACTCACTCACTCACTCACTCACTCACTCTAGAAAATCATGTACAACAATCTTCCTTGTGAACTCACTGACCCTGTTTCATGAAAATCTCGCAAATGTAAGATGTTCTAACCCCAAGATAATATTTACCACAGGGCATGATCCTCTAGTGGTTTTGTATCACTCTCTTAGCTAAGGTAAACTTTACATGTATAATCTTCAGTTATGGATGGGCAACTTTCTCATGACAGGCAAAGAGAGTTACCTCCCATTGGCAATCAAGATGGCAGTGACACACCCAAGAGTAACAGCACTATGGATATGGGAAATACTTTGCTGTGGTAATATGAGTAGTTTGAATTAGCCTGATCATGATGATACAAACTCACATGTTCTTAAGCATTCTTAAGCATTCTGTATTTGTTCAAGTAATATTCATTGCCAACGGTTTAAAAAATTTGCAACCAATCATGAAACTGGGACATGTTCGGGTAATTGTTTTTGGAAGCTGGAAACTTTGTTTCCAGGATCAAAAGAAAGAAGGAAGAAATGCATATGTGAGATATGATAAGTTCAAAAATTTTACTTATCTAGTTTAGTTTTCAAGTAATTTTTTCCGTCACTGTGCACAGCACAAAAAGCTGTACCCTCACAAGTAAGCAAACCCGATAAGTACAGAGCAAGTTGCATGATAAAAAGTATAAGTACACATACTTGAAGGCAAGTGTTTAAGATAGTGACTCGTGACTTTTCATGGTTCTACGATTTATGGGGGGCACGGGTGGCCCAGTCGTCTAAGGCGCCGCGAGTCGCTGTGCAGAGTTGCGTCCCTTGGGCACGCCAGAAACCTATGATTGTGGGTTCAAATCCCGGTTCGCCCCGATTATGTTTCTAGGTTTGTCAGCACCATACCCGTGCTCGTGGGTTTCACCGAAGTGGTAAACGTCAGAGACATGCATCACTTCAGCTTTCCTCCCACATTAAGCTGTCACTCCGCAATATATAACTGGAATACTGTTAAAAGCGGCGTCAAACCCAACTCACTCACTCACTCTACGATTTATGTACATTAAGGCAGGGTTGTTCCGAGTCAAGAATCTATGAGGAAAACTCAGACCATAGCATTGTACAGCAACAAGTGAGTGAGTGAGTAAGATTTTTTGCTGCTTTTAGTAATATTCCAGTAATATCACGGTGGGGGACACCAGAAATGGGCTTCACACTGTCACAACAAGGCAATATCTTTGATAGGGAACAGCACAGAGACTGCAGCTAATAAAAATCGCGACATTGCTTCAAAAATGAAAGCTATGGTGGCAAATGAAACTTGGGTCTTTATGCTAATAAAACTGAGATGTGATACACTGAATAATCGATGACTGTCACCTTAGACATACAGTATATGTAGTACCATACTCACCGCACGAATTTCTAACCCTTGTAATTTTTGTTCGAGGTCCCTTATTCGTCTGAAAGAAGAAAAATAACAGGTTTTCAAACTCACATGACAGTATGTACACAGAGAAGAGAGAAGAAATGTGACAGATACTGACACTTTGGCATCATGAAGTTGATCATCTAAGCTCTGACATCGCAGTTTCAGTTCTTGGCTCTCCTCTCGCAGGATTCGTTCATGTGCAGATTCACTGGATGTGTGTGCAGCACTTAATGTTGACCTCAACTCTGCCATTTCTGCCTCGTAGTATTCCCTCAGGTCAGACAGGTGCTTGGCGTGCTTCTCTCGCAGGTTGATTCTCGTACTGGGAACACACATTAATGTCCGTGTGAAATCTTCAGAAATACAAATCTGCTATATCATGTATATATAGAGAATCTCACCCGAGTGTCTTTTGATATCAAATATATCAACACAAGTTGATAAAAGTGGAAAAATTCAGAGGCTTGCCGAGGATTTTTGACACTTTTATCAACGAGTGTTGATATGTTTGACATCAAAAGACACAAGGGTGAGATTTTATTTATCATCCAATATCATTCTTCCAACTTTTTCAATTTGTAGACAGTAATAAGCAGTGTCTTAAGTGTAAAAAGTACTGCTAACAGCTTCAGTAGCAGAGCCATTAGTGATGTCATTTGATTGTGACGTCATGGTAACAGTGACGTCACAATGGTTTGCAAAGCATTGTGATGTAATTTCATTGCAGCGATATCTACACTGTAGATATCGCTTGATCTCATCCAAGCGATATCTCCTGTAGGAGCCAGTTTTGGATGGTAAATACGTTGCTTTGATTCTTCACCTGTTAACCATTTATTACCAAGATCAAAATATGGTCAGATTTGGCAACATTCAGCACACCATGGAGGTTCCAGTTAATTGAGTGAGTGTGGTTTTACGCCGCTTTTAGCAATATTCCAGCAATATCACGGCGGGGGACACCAGAAATGGGCTTCGCACATTGTACCCATGTTGGGAGGTTCCGGTTAAGAATAGGTCCCCTGCAACCTGTGCAAATGGATCGTTGTTCACAATATCGATCACTAGATTATCTGGTCCAGACTTGATTATTTACTGGACGCTGTCATATAGATGAAATATTACTGTGGGCGTTAAACAACAAACAGATAAACATTCAGCAATCAGCAGCAATCTAATAAGTTTTATAATCAAGTCTCGACCAGACAATCCAGTGATTGATTTTCATATAGTAAGCAATGATTTACGCCATCAAGGTACGATGACATGCATCAACCAAATCACTCAGACTGACCATCAGTGAGTTAGTATGGTTTTACACCGCTTTTAGCAATATTCCAGCAATATCACGGCAGGGGACACCAGAAATGGGCTTCACACATTGTACCCATGTTGGGAATCGAACCCGGGTCTTGAGCATGATGAGCGAACGCTTAAACCACTAGGCTACCCGACCGCCCCTGACTGACCACCAGATACATTTTATCCTCTTATGACCGGCACAGGTTTCCAGGGACCTATTCTAACCTGGAATCCCCATGGTTGGTTTCTTGTTTAACGCCACACTCAGCAATATTCCAGCTATATGACGGCGGTCTGTAAATAATCAAGTCTAGACCAGACAATCCAGTGATTAATATCATGAGCATCGATCCACGCAATTGGGATTGATGACATGCCTCAACCAAGTCAGCAAGCCTTACCACCCGATTCAATTAGTCGCCTTTTACGACAAGCATAGTCGCCTTTTACAGCAAGCATGGGTTGCTGAAAACCTATTCTTCCCCGGATCTTCACGGGTAGAATCCCCATGGGGACTGGAGGAGTGTTTACCTCATGGACAGCTGACTGTCATCAAACAAAGAGTCTCCCATTAGCACGGACTCCTCGCCACGATAGGGAAGGTCGTGGCGGAGACGCACATCAAACGGTCGTTCGGCAGCCGGACTAGGTCGGTGCTCATAAACTGGTGGGGGGCTTGAGTGCTGACTTTCTGATAAGGATTTCTTCGAAAAAGACAATGACTGAAAAATAAGAATTTTTATTAAAAATAGGAAATGGAATAATCATGGTAATCATAATACTAGAAAACAAAATATATGCTTTTTAGAAACATTATGATGCATATAGAAGAGGAGGTTTGAATACTAAAATACCCTGCACCAAGGAGAGAAATTTATACCGTAAGTGAGATTACTGCCGTTATTGTGATGAGTGAGTGAGTTAATAAAGTAGCACGTAGTCAACAAAGGCATTATGATTGTTTGTTTGTTTCTTTGTGCCAAGGGGACACGGGTGGCCAAGTCGTCTAAGGCGCCGCGATTCGCTGTGCAGAGTTGCCTCCCCTGGACACGCCAGAAACCTATGATTGTGGGTTCGATTCCCGGTTCACCCCGATTATGATTCTAGGTTTGTCAGCACCATACCCGTGCTCGTGGGTTTCACCAAAGTGGTAAACATCAGAGACCTGCATCACTTCGGGCTTTCCTCCCACATTAAGCTGACATGCCGCGATATAACTGGAATAATGTTAAAAGCGACGTTAAACCCAACTCACTCACTCACTCACTCTTTGTGCCAGGTGCTACCCCATCGAAGTCCATATAGTCTCAACGGCCATATTTGTTGCCCAATCCCCATCTTCATCCCATGATATGGTAACCATGGAGAACGCCATATCTCTCTTCCAGCGGTAACTGAACCAGTTGCACACCCAGACTTGAAATACACGCTAGTCAGCTAGCCCAAGGCTACTAATACATGGTGAGGACAAGTAAAAATCCAATGATGGTTGTCCTCATTGACTGGTTGCATTTCAGGCCTAAAATTCTCAATGCTTCACTTTGGCTACTGAGTAAAACTGAATAAAACAAATTAAAACTGAATAAAACCGATCAGAATGAAACAAAGTAAACATTTTTGTTTTATTCAAGTATGACTACAGAACTACAGATAAGCTGCGTATTTGTGTAAAATACCCCCCCCCCCAATATTCAAAACCCATTTACTTTCACTTTCAATTAACTTGCGTACAGAAACGCATACATTAAATGAAAAACTCAAATGTATAAAAACAGCATGAGTAAATACCCAATGAAGCTTTTTCAGCATGTGTACAATGGAGCTAATTTCCGAAACACAATTACTTTCTGAGTCAAATTTACTTTCCGTGTCAAGCTTATAGTTAGAGCCGTTATATACATCTAAAACATCATTTAATTATTTGTTTCCTCATTTTGGGAAGTACGTAACAGAGTGATGAGTAGATGAGTGGAAAAATATTGGTTACCCAATGAAAAATGTAATAACCCAATTAACATGATTAAAATAGAAACCCTAGAGTAAAAACTCAAATGCTCAAAAAGTTATCTGGAGCTCTGACGACTAGTTACAAACTCTAACATTTGTTTAAGTGACATATTTCTACTTGGCCTTATCATGCTTATGATACCTTAACTATTGGGCAGTTTGGCAAGGACTATAGGACTAGTGAATTTCTTATGCTGTAAGGACTAGTGAAATATGGTTTTAACTAGTCATCTGGACTAGTCTTTACAAAAAAAGAATTTCTAAGTCTGTGCACCCTACCCTGTTAGAGCTCTTCACCTTGGACATCGGCATAGGACTGCTGTACACACCGCCCCGGAGCAGACGGTCTCCCGTCACATCCAACCTTGTCCTTGACAAGCTTGAATCTCCCAAACCCGTGGATCTCCTTGGCGATACATATCCAGTCTCCATGGCCACATAGCTACGTTCTGGTGACCGACTAGGGGAGTCAAAGGCAAGTTCAAGGGACCTTCGTACAGGCATTGATGTCGATGTCTGTCCCAGATATTCACCGAGACCGTCATGGGATGGAACCCTTCTCTCTGAAGGGGACCGGAGACTCGGAGTCCGCAATGGGTCCGATGATGTGGGACCACGAGACAGTCCACCGTATGGCATATCCTCTTCCTCTTCCCCTTCTCCAGAATCCCCGGAACTGTAGTCCACCAGTCCACCTCTGTAAGGCTCCATGACCGGAGAGACAGGGCGCCGGCTGACAAAACAAAACAAGTTTGTTGTTATTTATTTATTTATTTATTTATTTATTCAATTTATTAATTTATTAATTTATTAATTTATTTATTTTATTATTATTTATTTATTTTCTATTTATTTTTATTTTTATTATTTATTTTTTTACACAACCAATTTGTAAGGATTAAGCTTCACACTAAGTTAATAAATATGGCAAATATTTGCCCGTCTTCACCATTTGTAAACTTTGATGGACACCTGTAGCGAACTTAAACTGACCTGCTGTCTGCTGTATAGGTAACCTATACCTAACAAGTATGCTACAAGACGTGCCACTCCATGTATAACTCTGTAATGTCATATACTGAATTGAATAAAAAATATTTTTAAAAAAAAACAAGTGTGTTGTTTAACGCCACACTCAGTAATATTCCAACTATATGACAGCGGTCTGTAAATAATCGAGTCTGGACCAGACAATCCAGTTATTGACATAATGAGTATCGATCCACGCAGTTGGGATACGATGACATGCATCAACCAAGTCAGCGAGGTTGACCACCCGATCCCATTAGTCGCCTCTTACGACAAGCATAGACGCCTTTTACGGCAAGCATGGGTTGCCGGAGACCAATTCTACCCCGGATCTTCACAGGTCGAGCATCGATCTACGCAATTGGGATGCATCAACCAAGTCAGTAACAAGTAGCCGGCAAGTGCAGTAGCAGGTCTTGATTTAAGGAACTTGATATAACTTTCACCAAGTGTATGTTGACATGAAAATCTAGTTGCACCAGACATAAGGCTTAAAAAAATAAAAGAATTGGTTCTCAGGCAATGGCTTTTGAAAATATAGTGCGGGCGGGCGGTGTGTTTTTTTTTTGTTTTTTTTTCTAACTAGTATGCAACCAAATAAACAGTTGTGTACAATCAACCTGGGAAAGGGCTTCCCTGCATAAATGTATTCCTTGATGAGTAAAATACTAGAATACAGTTTTTGACTACCACTGGACTTGTAATATTTAAGGATTTTTTGTTGTTGGAAAAATGGAAATAAAAACGAAACGTGCGGCGGACTTTAGGATCATGCGGGCGGTGCCTCAGAACCAAGAGTACTATTTTTAGCCTAAACAGACATAACCATGATAACAAGGTTGCACCCTGGTCGAATAAATTTATGAAAGTTGAAACAAAAATGCATAACCTAGTCTAAGTAAGTGCAACCCCTGGTCTCTCATGATTGTGTACTGTGTCATGTATTACACATAACACAGCAACTAGTGATGTAGTATGGTAAATAAAGCTAGAAGTATAGAGTGTGTTCAAAGATCATTGTTGTGTTGACACTTAAGGGTCAGTCGGATACAAATTTGACACTTTTTAGCATGCACCTGGTGCTTGAACTTGAAGACATAAATATTAGGTTACATTTTTCAATAATAGGTTGCACGCTTCACATAGCTAAATCTAACCCTGAGTAGACATGTCAAACAACCAGGGCCCCAATCAACAAAGCAATATAACAGCTGCAAATGTCGTAAACCATGTCCTATCACCTTAGCGCTACAATCGCATTGTGGAAGTGGGGGGGGGGGGGGGACAGATCTCGGATTTATATACTTTATCCAAAGAAATCTTACAATTTTGTCAACAACCAAGACATGTGCTAATGTGTCCCATGAAACCCAATGAATGATAGGTAGGTGCGCCGTGTCTAGGGCATGCTCCGTACATGTATTGGTCAGTGGCTTGACCACTGAAGACAAGGTCGGCAATGGTCAAGAAATCATCATCTGCTGTACCTATTATGTTATGTGTGCCTATGTCAAGCTAACACCAGCAACAAAGATCCTCCCCACCTGTCATGTTTAGTGTCCGGTCTACCGAGGACCCAACCAGGGGCAAGGCATGCCTGGGCAACTCCCAGAGGGAGTCCAGAGAATTGGGACAGCAACATGTGTCAGTGAGAGTGAGTGAGTATGGTTTTACGCCGCTTTCAGCAATATTCCAGCAATATCACGGTGGGGGACACCAGAAATGGGCTTCACACATTGTACCCATGTCGGGAATCGAACCTGGGTCTTAGGCGTGACGAGCGAACGCTTTAACCACTAGGCTACCCGACCGCCCCCCAACCGGTGTCAAGTCAAGTAAGCCATCAACAAATATGCACCATACACAGTTTTCGACACAGCCACTATTCCTAAACTCAAGCAGAGTACAATTTCTTCTGGTCTAGTATGATCAGCTGATACTAGTCCATAAACTAACAGAATATCTACTGAAAATAATGCACAACACAAATACTGCCAAGATGACACAAAACAAATTGGCGCAGACCTCATCCCTTAGTCAGTGGCAAGATCACTTAGGAATCCCAGTGCACATGCCAGAGTGAGTCTAGATAATGTGTCAAAAATCTTACATTTTTCAGCTCGGTGTGCCAATGTCAAGGACAGGCTCCATCAACAAAGATCCTCCCTACCTGTACTGGTCAGTGGCTAGGTCACTGAGGACTCGGTCAGCCAGGGGTGAGGCATCCCGGAGCAGCTCCCGGTGTGAGTGGAGGCGGTGCTGGATGGCCGACTGCTGCTTGTGCAGCTCCCTCTCCATCTGGTCCTGGATGTCCTGGATGAGGCGCTGGTGCTCCGAGTACTGGGACTGGAGCTGTGTCCTGTGCTGGTCCTCCAGCACCTTGAACATCTTCAGCCAGGACACCTGAAGAAATACATACATACAAGATCAGCACGGTTAGCGGTTATCAAGTGGGGGAGAAGTAGCTTCCAGGTTCTAAAGATGTCCATGCAGATGAAACTACCATCCTGACCATGAACGAATGTGCAAACATGAGCGATGTTGGTGATGAATTCCATTATTATATTTCCCTTTGTCCTTTTTTTAAACACCAACTGAAAATATAGGTTCTAATATCATATGCTACAAACCCAAATTTGTTCAAAAAACTAAAAGAACTTTTTTTTTGTAGAAAAATAAGTGTCATAAAAAAAGAGTGAAAACAGTAAAATCTTCCATGTAAACCATCCTGCCATCATATGTATATCCTGTTTGTATCATGTGTATCCCGGCCTGAGCATGCTGAGTGTAAATAAAGTTTTGTTCTGCTAACAACATGACAAAACCAACGTCTTGGAGAAAATATACATGTAATCATGGTAATACAGAATGTGCCAAAAACTTTTGAATCCCAAACTTGGCTCTTCATGCTCTTTGTAACATTTTCAGTGCAATTTAGTGTTACCATATGGAGTTTAATTAACGAACATAACTGGTGAGGTGAAATGGGGTTTAACGTCGCGTCCAAGATTATTGCACTTATATAGCGACGTGCATGTACGTGTGTGTGTTTGTGTGGCTGCTTGTACTAGTCCGGACTGATGCCGATTTATAGTGCTAGCTCACTGAGATACCATGCTGCAGTTTAACATGAATATCCCACTCAGCATGCTCAGACACAGTATACTGACTCCGAGCTGACAAGCCCTTGTTTTAGCCCCTTAATGCCGAGCGCCAGACAGGGTAACAACAAGTACCATCTTTTAACGTCTTTTGGTATGACGCCGCCGGGGATCAAACCCCGGACCTTCCGCTCTCCGGGCAGACACTCTACCACTAGACCACAGAGGCGGTCAACTAACATAACAACCTGTACAAGATCAAACAGCATTTTACTACACTCCGGTTTCAGACTTGTGGCTTAAGTTGCAGACTATTTTTTGTTTGTTTAATGCCGCACTCAGCAATATTCCAGCCATATGACAGCGGTCTGTAAATAATGTCTGGCAAGACAAACCAGTGATTGACATCATGAGCATCGATCTGCGCAAATGGGATACCATGACATGCATCAACCAAGTCAGCGAGCCTGACCATCAATCCTGTTAGTAACCTCTTTCGACAAGCATGGATCGCTGAACCATCCTTGATGTTCACAGGGATCACAGACTGGTAATGTAATCATGTAATTTGGAATGTTATGAATATTCTGGGCAAGACAATCCAGTGATTGACATCACGAACATCGATCAACACAATTGGGATACAACAACTTGCATCAACCATATCAGTGACGCTGACAACCCAATATTACATTGCTGACTGTCATAACCTTGGTGGGGCAGCCTAGTGGTTAAAGCGTTCGCTCGTCACGCCGAAGACCCGGGTTCGATTCCCCACATGGGTACATTTCTGGTGTCCCACGCCATGATATTGCTGGAATATTGATAAAACCATACTCACTCACTCATAACCTTGGTACAACGCATGAACTATATCAACAAAGTTGAACATAGCCAAAACACTGTCACTGTCGATCATGTTCAAATCAACATGATCAAGCATGCCCATGAGATCATGGTTATGGGGCAGTCTAGTGGTTAAAGAATCTGATCATCACGCCTAAGGTTCAGCTTTGACTACCCCAAGGCAACAGTGTGCAAAGCCCATTTCTGGTGTTCCCTGCCGTTATATTGCTTGAATATTGCTAAAATGCTCAGCATAAAAGCATACTCACTCATTCAGTCACATCCTTGGCAACTTTACTTTCAAATAAGCTGAACATGCTGAAAACAATGTTGACTTTATCAAAATTATTGAAACAAACTCTCACTAACCTGTTGATCTTTCAGTGTATTATATCCTGGTACTGGGCCGGAGCTGGGTGGGGATGTGACAACTTCAGACTGATACAGATGTCTGTGGTCAGCTCTTGATAGATCATGAGTTGGCAGAGAGTGGTATTGGTCATGTGGTCGAAGTCGTCCAGTAATATAACTACCATTGATGCTATTCCCATAATCAGTCGTGTATGATTCTCGACTCTGATCAACACTCTCATAGCGTCTCCCATCAACCTCCTCCCTCCGCCTCGGTGGGGACCTGTACGCAAGATCTCTCTGTTCATAGCTGGGCCTCATCCGTGGAGACATTGGAGGTTTACCCAGAGATGCAGGGCTTCCAGCATTGCTGGGTCTACTAGGTGGCAACTCCTGTTCCTCTCTGCTCTTCAGAATGCCATTGCCAGGAACCTCAGACAGAAAGGACTCTTGAAGCTCCACTCCTTCACTAACCTTCCTCCCAGATTGAACTTCCTCAGGGGAGGTTTCAAGAACATCCGATATCTGCTCTGCCTCAGCACCGGAACCTTCTCGAGTGTCATCCTGAACCTCCTGACCTGCCCCACCGACCTTATCTTGTTCCTGTTCTTCATCCTTGATGTCTGGCTGATGTACTAGTTGTCTCCCTTCATCATGCACCTCACTCCTCTCTGCATCCACCTGCCCATTTGCACCATCAAAATCTCCAAGCTTTAGGCTCATAAACACAGTGCCTTTCATTGCAGGTGGAGTTTTCACTATCTTGAAAGCCTTTCTCTCCCCTTCATTGTCAGACTTGGGAGATCCCCCTGAGCTTTCACTTAGTGACCGACGTGCACTCTCATCATCTGATCTTCTTGGTGAAGCGGATGGGGATTCTGAACAGGTCCATTTTCTTTTCTTTTTGTCATACTTGATATGTTCTCCAGTCTCTAATATCAAACACTCCTTGACTCCAGGTGAAACCTGTCTGCACACTTTGTAGTTGCCATAATTCATAGGGTATTCCGGATGTTGAGAACCTTCCCCAACACACACAACCTTAACACCATCATCATCGTCATCATCATCATCATCGCCTTCAGCTTCATCATCTCCTTCATCCTCAGCTTCCTTTGTCTGAGGCTCAATGACCCGCTCAGCTTCAGGACTGCTTTCGTCAAAGTCATGGTTTTGTTCGACATGAAGAAAAAGATGATCCTCCTCTAGTTCTGGTGGACGTTTACTACCATCTTGATCTACATCCAACAATCTTTCCTCATCACTCGAATCTGCCTGCATCAAATGCTTATCGGCAGATAAATCAGCAGGACCCTTGGAGTCAGTATCCCCATCCCCATCCTTCCCTTCTCCAACTGACAGTGCTGCTGCACCATCAGCAGCCGACTTGTCTGCTGGAACAAACCCAGAGTCAGACTTTAGAGATGTGTCACTATCACTGTTGATCATGAGTGCTTTGCTGAGAACCTCCTTCACAACAACCCTTGCTTCTTCGCTGTTCTCTAAACCATCTCTCTCCCTACCATCTGGCTCTTCTTCACTTTCTCTACCAGTATCAAAATGCTGCGATCCAAATGAATCACCAGGGTCACTCATGACAGCCGACACTTTGGTCTCAGGTGATGAAAAGTTTGAAGCAGGCTTAGGGCCTTCAGACTGTGCAGAAGTGTCTGCAACGTCTTCCCTGTGTTCTTCAAGTGTCATACTTGCAGTAGGAGCATTACAGTTAATAACACCAGTCTCTGATTCTCTGTGGTCTGGCTCCCCATCTTCTCCTGACACCACCTGAGGTTTCTCTGCAGGTGTATCAGGTATTTTCTTTGCCTCGTCTGCATCCTGATCTGGTTTGGGAGAACCAGCAGCAGCTTCAGCTGCAACAGGCTCTGTCGGTGGACCCTCACCATTTTCATCCTGTCTCACAGCCTCTGCAACATTGTCTGCTCTTTGTTGCACATTATCCTGACCACCTTCCGTATCGTGAGGTATGACATTGACAGTGTTTGATTGGGCTTCCGCATCCTGACCTGGTGTCACTGGCCTCTCAAGGGGCACAACTCCACCTGTCCCAGAGTTATCCCCATCTTTGAGATCTTCATCTCTGACGGTGGATGTGCCATCATCTGCAGTAGGACTGCCGGACTCCGAATCATCCATTATCCTAAAATGAAGTAAACATGATCATGATATATACTGTTAAAAATACCACTGAAAACAGTTATGTTTATGATGACAAGATGAGACTGAGTCATTATCATGATTATATAAACTTTTTACTAATGATAATAATAATAATAATTTGTATGGTACCAAACTCCATACCAGCCCGTGGCGCTTACATTATTACCCCAGTCAATGGATCAGTGAGCACTCGATTTTCATTCTCAGCTCCCTGGGGAGTATACAATGATAAAATGATTTAATCACATCCGATGAACATGATGAATTTTCAACATGTACAAAGCTGACACTTTAAAGACGAGTATCACGAAGTCCATACAACATGTACAAGCAGTGATTTTAGATAGTTAAAACCTTTGCTAAAACCATTGACAACATGTATACATAAACTTGTAGGAAAAAAAGTAGAAAAAGCAGATATTTCCCAATCATGCAAATTGATCAAATGTGTTTCATAAAATCAACTTTCAACTGAATGATTTTTTTTGCAATGACTACATTTTGTACATCAATAATATATTTTTTTATGCAGGGACGATAGATGGGCCACGAGCACGGAGAGCGAAGACACCATACCTTGCTTACTACAGGGTTCATTGGGACTGAGACCATGATTAAATCTGCATGTAATGCCCAAACATGATTTACACCATACTCATGGGTATTGAAAGTCATGGAATAGAAATAAGTCTTGATTTGTTTCTTTGTCTGTTGTTTAATGTCACACCCAGCAATATTCTAGTTATATGATGGCAGCCTGTAAATTTATCATTGATTCTGGACCAGACAATCCAGTGACTGACACCATGAGCATCGATCTACATAATTGGGATACAATGACATGCATCAGCCAAGTCAGCGAACCTGACCAGCCGATCCCATAAGACACCTCTTACGACAAGCATAGATGCCTTTTACGGCAAGAATGGGTTGCTGAAAACCTATTCTACCTCGGATCTTCATCATGTTCATGGGTCAAAAAATTAATCTTGAAAGCGAACACAATGGCAAAAGGGTCGTTGTCATGAACCCAAATGTTATTAAATAAAGTTAAAGTTTTGATTCAAATAATAACTCCACAAATTCCAACCCTCATGACTCCATGGTTATCATGTATCCTGCTGAGTAAATTTGTAACAGTAAAACTGTAAGTTGTAACCACAACAAAATATGTCGGAATATGTCTCTTAATCGCCATGAAGATACTACAGTTTGTAAGAGAAAATTAATGTAAACCATCATTATCAGGGCACACAGGAAGGAACTAGAGTATATCAGTACAGCTTAAAGGTTGTGTACAAGCATGGTCATGACTTTGGGGGTCTATATATCAGTGATACATGAAGTAATTCACTGTAAATGAAACACCTTGTTAACCATTAACCTCAGTCTGAAATTCCTCTCAAATACCTAGCTACAGTCAAGCAAATAAATCAATACCTCGGAAAATAATCTCCCTTAGAAGTGGTCTTATGAAGGAGATCTGTGGCCCACTTGCAGAGATTGATCGAGATTAGGACGTCTGACACAAGGGACTAACAAGATAAACAAACTTCGCTACAAGCCTAACATGAATTGTAACTGTAGAATATTTCAAAATACACACAAGCTAATAACTATCAACAAAGACGATTCACTTTTGCATATGCATTTATCAATAATGTAACAAGCATCTAAACATGCTTATCTACCCTGTCCCCTAATCCTCATAGTGTTTTCGCCTTCTTACTGACACTGTCGTGAATGAAGAATCTGATTTGGACATTGTTTCAACGCAATAGTTTATTTTGCTGTAATAACACGCAATAGAATTATGTGTAAATAACACTTACGGCAAGGATGTCCTACGACCAGTCAAGGCCCTTGTCTAATTCCGGTAACTAGTTAAATATTCGTGCGGTTTCACACGGACCTTTCGTCAACAAAGTTCAGATTTTCGTTTCCTGTTGATACTTGCGCACCGAAGCGGCGGGGGTCGCTAGAGTAAGAAGCGAGCTTGGGTGTCGTAAGATATAAATATTGTGTATGGAATATATATCTTGTGGATCTTCTTACGATGGTGTCTCTTTTTTCATAAACATTTGATATCATTACATTTAATCAAATGTGATATTAAGAAAGAGAGTTTATTATTTTTACGACTTTGAAAACGTTCCGCTTGCTTGCGTGTAATTCTACTTCCTGTTGGAAATCTCCCTGAGCTGAAACAGGTACACATAGAACATTGGGGTTTTTTTCAAATATGAGATTAAATGTCAGTAGCACTGAAACAGACATTCAAATGCCAGCTATGTATAGTTTAAAGTTGGCACCACTCAGTGACAACACTTTATTTTTCATGAATTCAGAAACTGAGAGTCTACTTTTCCCAAGATTGCATAATATTAATTTTAGTGGTGTAACAGGTCATCTTGACAAAAATCACAATATACATGATGAGTTTAAAATACAGATAACAACACAGACCTTTTGTAAACATCGTACAGGGCCTGTCTAATATATAAGCATGATAAGTGTATGTTGGCTTGATCACCTCTTACTCTTTGTACTGCTATTTCGCCTGTATTCAATTATTAAGATCTTCGTGTTACAACTATTGTGAGTGAAAGAGAATTAGGGTTATGACTGTCATAGCCCTTCAGTACACCTGTTGGTTGGTTGGTTGGTTTGTTGTTTAACGCCGCACTCAGCAATATTCCAGGTATATGACGGCGGTCTGTAAATAATCCACTCTGGACCAGACAATCCAGTGATTGATATCATGAGCATCGATCCACGCAATTGGGATCGATGACATGCATCAACCAAGTCAGCGAGCCTGACCACCCGATACGGTTAGTCGCCTTTTACGACAAGCATAGTCGCCTTTTACGGCAAGTATGGGTTGCTGAAGACCTATTCTACCCTGGATCTTCGCGGGTCCAGTGGACCTGTGGGGATTCTGGGTAACAAATGGCCCACAATCTCATTAAAATCAGATCTTAGTTTTCGCTACCTCTAAACAAAAATCTGAAGACATCCCATTGCGGCTGTAGCAGGGCGTGGAGTCATCCCACAGATGACATCCTTGCCTTGTCAGCTTGCTGACGGGGTTAACCTCTTTGGTCATGTGGACAAGGCGTCCGACCCCGGATCAGAAGGTCCGTGGTTCGAATCCCATCAAGGTACTCGGAAATTTTATGGCCGCTACACGGGTCATGTCAGATCGACCTTTCATCCGACCAATTAGAGCATCGTTTAGCAGATCATGAAAGTGACAGTTGGAATGTGATGTTTTATCGTGCAACCTCGAAAAAAAACACACAGGTTGTTCCGAACGACAGTTATGGGCTTTATGTCTGTATTCACACACTATAAACTATCTATTAGCCAATTCTAGAATGTTTTTTTGTTCCGTTTTGAATTTTTTAATCGATAATATGTCAATATATGTTTCGAAGCGTAAAAGACAGTTTGAAACTCGTGCAGTTAAGCTTGATTAAGCTGCCTTCTGATTGGCTATTGCTAACTTCTTGTTAGTTATTCCATTGGTCGGTCAAAGTTCGCAAAAGTTCAGTCTGACATGACCCGTAATGGGATGTCCTCAGATCTTTGTTTAGCAGTAGCGAGAACTAAGATCTGATTTTAATGAGATTGAAATGGCCCCCAGCAACCTATTGGTCTCATTCATTTCTTGACACATTTTAGATAAGGGGTCAGCACTCACATTACTTTGGTGATGGATTAATTTCATGATTTTGAGTATACAATGTATCAATGCTTTGTAAAAAATGAATAATCAATCGGAATGAAACATTCCTGGATTCCATATTATTGAATACAACTCAATTCAACAGGGTTCGATTCTACTCACTCACTCACTCACTCACTCACTCACTCACTCACTCACTCATGCACTCACTCATGCACTCACTCATGCACTCACTCAAGATGCAGGGTATAATAGATCTTCAACAACCCCTGCTTGCTGTAAAGAGGCGGCTAATGGGATCAGGTGGATTGATGCTCATGAAGTCATTCACTGGATTGTCTGGTCCCGACTCCATTATTTACAGACCGCCGTCATATAGCTGGAATATTGCTGTATGTGGAGTTAAACAACAAACAAAAAACATTCACTCACTCACTCACTTGCCCAAAACCCACTCACTCACTCACTCACTCACCCACTCACTCACTCACTCACTCACTCACTCACCATATAACTACACCCACTGATTATTTGTCCACTTTGTTTCAGGTTCTATCGACTGTTTAGGAATCAAGTAAGTAATATCAATAAGTATGCACATCTTCCATACCATGTCAGTAGCACGCCAAGTACATCTCAGGCTTATACACCCCTTCCTCCTCCCCACATCAACACAGTGGATGCTGAAGAAACTCGCAATAGTGTCATCTCAAGAAAGATCCCTCACATCTCACCTGTCAACCTTAAGGGGGCCCTCTCAACAGGTTTCCAGAACAGAGGAACAAAACAGGTGGTGTTTGCAAAGCAGAGAAAACTTTCAGAAGCTGTGGTCTGTGGGTGTGCCTTTAAGAAGCTATGTGTCCCAAAAGGATTACTGCTATCCTGTTGTGGACGAGGACGAGTTGGAGGAGCAGCATGTCCGGGGTAGTGGGCCGGGGGGACAGGCAGTCAACAAGACAGCCAACTGTGTGGTGCTCAAACACCTGCCGACCGGGATTGTTGTGAAGGTGAGGGCAGAGGTCTATATCATGTAAATTGAGAACCATACTGGTGGATGTGGGGATTTGTCTGGGATTCCAAACTCAGTGCAGGCAAATTGGGAAATTAATCATTAAATTAGACATTATATAAATGTGATTACTATTTTGACCTATGAAGATCCGTGGTAGAATAAATAGGTCTTCAGCAACCCATGCTTGCCATAAAAGGCGACTAATGGGATCGGGTGGCCAGATTCGCTGACTTGGTTGATGCATGTCATCGTATCCCAATTGCGTCGACCGATGCTCATGATGTCAATCACTGGATTGTCTGGTCCAGACTCGATTATTTACAGACCACCTTCATTTAGCTGGAATATTGCTGAGTGCGGCGTTAAACAACAAACCAACCAACCACTCAATCAACCCTATTTCTAATTTTGAGAGCGCCCTTGGCGCTTATTATGTCGAATACAGTACTGTTAAAAACGGTGTTAAACACAAACCACTCACACACTTCTTTCAATCATAGAGCCATGAATCCCGATCGCTGGACACCAACAGACGGACAGCCCGGCTGAAACTACGAGACAAACTAGATCTGCGGATGAACGGAGAAAACAGCTTCCAGATGATGCAGCGCAGGGAGGAGATGAAGCGAAGATCACAGAAAAAGAAGAAGACAAATGAAAGACTCGAAATGAAGAAAGCGTTTAAGCAAGAAATAGAAAAGACAAAAGAAGAGTAGCTCAACGTTCACATCATATTGACAAACAATTTTGAGCCCTTGGGATTGAATGTGAACTTGGTCGTTGACATGTGTGGATAATTCATGGTTTGAAATAGCAAGCCTAAACAGTATCAGGTGTTTGTACATCTGGACAGAGGTTGCGACATTCCTGCATGCATTCCTAGATCCAAAGAGTGGGAGGTGCAAGGCTGTGCACTTACACCCCACTTTATAGCATGACAAACCTGAAAACATATAAAAAAAACAATTGACTAAATTGTGTTGTGATATGTTTTCAACAAGACTACCAAACCAAAATTGTTTTGGTAATATTTACAATCGTCTAGAAAATGTATCCATGAATCCTGAGACATCTTTTATTATCTTGGCACGTGCACCTTTAACCCTCTTGGTGCCAAGGGACCATATATGGTCCCTCACTTTTCACACCCTCTTAGCCCCTTTTCAACTGTGGATTAAGATGTCAAACACTGAGTGCACAGAATCAAAGTTATAACCATCATCACCCTAATCATCCCGGCTTTAACATTGTGTAACTCATATTTTATACAGTGCTACGTATTGCGAAATATGGTGAGATAAATAAAGTGGTTACCATGGTTACCACGCTTCTCAACCTTTTTCTGTGTATGAACTAATCACGACCACTTCCGTCAGTTTTGTTTTGACATCAGAAACACTGACAGTTTCATCAGGATTTTTTATCGATAAATATAAATCATGGACAATTTTCATTGAATGTGTACTCCAACATAAATGTCATATGTCTATCGCCGTTAGGATGTACTTTCCAATGATATGGTCGTCACGATATGGCTGAAATATTGCCAATGTGACGTAAAGCATTAACTCACTCACTCACTCCAATGATATGAATTTTTTGACATTTAGATTTCAAACAAGGGCAATTAATGACTTTTCTTGTCATAATTGGGTGCTTCCATATTACGGTTAATGTAGAAAAGTAGGGAACTTACATTACCAGAACTTTTATCGATGACAAGGCACTGCATAGATCTTTTGGATGTGTTCACTTTAGATACTGTTGGAAAGACAATCAATGGGAGTTGCATGTTATACAAATTGGTTACACTGTGTAAAGAAATAACGTTGTAACACTGTTGATACAAGGTTTACGTTTTTGAAACTGCGATGTCATCGCAGTGCGGCACTGAGCGGTGTACAAAGCCAGCTGACGGCCAGGCACCATGAGGGTTAAATGTGGCAGTGGAACTTGTTGAAATGCCATTCAAATGGCAAGTGCAGTGTCAAATCAGCAGTAATTGTGTTTGATGATAGTACAAGATAGTTCATGTTTGTTTTATTCCAAGAGCTGATAATGGTATATATTTATGTGTGGTTATAAACCTTAAATATGTGAATGTCAATTTCAGGCAGGAAAATATGAGTAATATGAGTTGATGTCTTTCAATACAACTGTAAACAACAAAATGGCGGACAAATTTGTTGCTAAGAGAGACAGGTAAGTATCTGGTTACAACAATATCTATTAATGCATGTAAAATAGAAGAACCACCATTTTGTGATTGTCGTATATCTACTAAAAGGAGGGGGCACGGGTGGCCCAGTCTTCTATGGCGCCGCGATTTGCTGTGCAGAGTTGCGTCCCTTGGGCACGCCAGAATTATGGGTTCGAATCCCGGTTCGCCCCGATTATGTTTCTAGGTTTGTCAGCACCATACCCGTGCTCGTGGGTTTCACCGAAGTGGTAAACGTCTGAGACCTGCATCACTTCGGGCTTTCCTCCCACATTAAGCTGACACGCCATGAAATAACTGGAATACTGTTAAAAGGGGCGTTATACCCAACTCACTCACTCACTCAAAGAAATTTCAGGAACACCCAATTCTTATATATTCACCGCAAAAAGAATCATGTCATCTATCCCAATTGTGTGGATCAATACTCATGATGTCAATCACTAGATTGTCTGGTCCAGACTCGATTATTTACAGACCGCCGTCATATGGCTGTAATATTGCTGAGTGCTGCGTTAAACAACAAACTAACCAACCAACCAACCATTGTGGAGGAAAATATTCCCTATTCTTATTTCTTAAACAGCAGGGGTCGGTCTGGTAGTGGTTTAAGCATTGGCTCATCAAGCCGAAAACCCGGGTTCGATTCCCGACATGGGAACAATGTGTGAAGCCCATTTCTGGTGTCCCCCGCCATGATATTGCTGAAATATTGCTAAAAGCGGCGTGAAACCTCACTCACTCACTCACTCACTCACTCACTCACTCACTCACTCACTCACTCACTCACTCACTCACTCACTCACTCACTCACCCACCCACCCACCCACCCACCCACCCACCCACCCACCCACTCACTCACTCACTCACTCACTCACTCACTCTAAAACACAACAGTTGTAGAGATCTCTGTTGATTAATTATGTGTCTGTTGAGAATGTGATTCAGTGTATACCCCTCTCTCAGGCCAGACTAAGTTTTGTCTCACCTGACTGACCTTTTATTAAGATACTCTTTTTTACTCTTTGCAGGTTCAATAGCATCACGTTTAGTGTCAGTGATCAAACCTTTGCCAGTGATGAAGAGTTGATCCAGAATCTTGAAGGTGATTATAACGTCAATCCATGATCCGATCCCAACACCAATGGCAATTCAATATTATGTTGGAAAACTAGCAAAGTGATTTCTTTATCTCACCAAACAATCTTCAAACTACTATCGGGGCGGTCGGGTAGCCTAGTGGTTAAAGCGTTCGCTCATCACGCTGAAGACCCGGGTTCGATTCCTGACATGGGGACAATGTGTGGAGCCCATTTCTGGTGTCCCCGCCATGATATCACTCTAACTATTATCAGACTATGTAGTAGTAGTAAAGTTTAGGGTCAACTTTGGATGCATCAAACTATGGGCCAACAAAGGAGTTACTTCCCTTTATGGTAATCTTTAGGTTGTGACGATCCGGGTTTGAATTGGTCTTCAGCAACCCATGCTTGTCCCCCATGAAGATCTGGGTTAGAAGTGGTCTTCAACCCATGCTTGTCCCCCATGAGATCCAGGCTAAAAATTAGCCTTTAGCTACCCATGCTTGTCGTAAGAGGCGACTAACAGGATCGAGTTGTAAGACCCACTGACTTGGTTGATGCATGTCATCATATCCCAATTGCATAGATTGATGCTCATGATGTCAATCACTTGATAGTCTGGTCCAGACTAGATTATTTACAAATCACCACCGAATATTGCCGAGTGTGGCATTAAACAACAAACAAACAAACACACAATAATCAATGATTATGTACATTCATCTCACTGTCTGCAGCCGCCCTGACTGAGTGGAGGAATAGCAAGGTCCGAGGAGTGTGGGTTAAGATCGGCTTGCAGCAGACAGCACTGGTGCCGAGGCTTGTGAAGGTGATTCAGTGCCCTGCTGGTTGTAAGAGGCGACCAAATGTGATTCAGTGCCCTGCTGGTTGTAAGAGGCGACCAAATGTGATTCAGTGCCCTGCTGGTTGTAAGAGGCGACCAAATGTGATTCAGTGCCCTGCTGGTTGTAAGAGGCAACCAAATGTGATTCAGTGCCCTGCTGGTTGTAAGAGGCGACCAAATGTGATTCAGTGCCCTGCTGGTTGTAAGAGGCGACCAAATGTGATTCAGTTCCCTGCTGGTTGTAAGAGGCGACCAAATGTGATTCAGTGCCCTGCTGGTTGTAAGAGGCGACCAAATGTGATTCAGTGCCCTGCTGGTTGTAAGAGGCGACCAAATGTGATTCAGTGCCCTGCTGGTTGCAATTGTAAGAGGCAACCAAATGTGAATCAGTGCACTGTTGGGGTTGCACGTTAGAATAGGTCCCCAGCAAACTTTGCTGGTTGTAAGAGGCGACCAAATGTGATTCAGTGCCCTATGGCCGGCCCTGTGGGTGTTCTGAGTTATAATAGGTCCCCAGCAACCTATGCTGGTTGTAAGAAGCGACCAAATGTGATTCAGTGCCCTGTGGCCCTGTGGGTGTTCTGAGTTATAATAGGTCCCCAGCAACCTATGCTGGCTGTAAGAGGCAACCTTTTCAGGTCATGACAATCACCCACCATAGGGCTGGGACGGGTAACTCGGGTACTCAGGTCGGGTGGGTACAGAACTACCCAGGACCGTGGTTTGTCATGTGGTTATATTGTTAAATGGCAAAAATTATCTAGAACTCTATGGTTACACTATAAGTGACAAATGTTCACGTTTCTTTCAGACTCTGACTTAATATGTTTGCAGTCAACTTCAGTGTATGCATGACCAGATCATTTTATACCTGTATCTAAATACATTTTGACAGGAATACGGTCAAACGTTTCCCAATGAGACATTTTGTACCTGTCTCTTGAGACCTACAGCAGGTACCCGGGTAGGGTCCGGTAATAAGGGGGTGGGTACCCGGGTAGTAAAGTTGGACTCGTCCCAGCCCTACAACAAACCTTATAGATAATTTTGGATATAAAATCAATCTCAGGTGCTTACAGTCACTACACTTAAGAATCTTTCCACTTACAGGGCGGTCGGGCAGCCTAGTGGTTGAAGCGTTCCCTCGTTAAGCCGAAGACCCGGATTCGATTCCCGACATGGGTACAATGAGTGAAGCCCATTTCTGGTGCCCCCCCACCGTGATATTGCTGGAATATTGCTAAAAGCAGAGTAGAACCATACTCACTCACTCACTTTCCACTTACACAAACCGATTGATAAATGTGGACTAATACAAGCAGCCAAACACACGTGCATGCATGTCACTATGCAAGTGAAATAATCTTCAACATCGATGCAAATACAGTAATTATACTCAAGTTCCGTTAGAATTATGCCTTTCACTGAACCAAGTATGTCAAAGTTCATATAAATAGAGACCCGTGAATATCTTGGGTAGATCTGGGATCTGGTGGTCAGACTCGCTGACGTGGTTAATGCGTGTCATTGTATCCCCATTGCGTGGATCGATGCTCATGATGTCAATCACTGGATCGTCTGGTCCAGACTAGATTATTTACAGACGGACGTCATAGAGCTGAAATATTTCTGAGTGAGCCATTAAACAACAAAAACAACAAACAAATGAATCATCTAAATAGAGTAACCAGCTCTATGCAGTAGTTTTCAGAGTGTGTGATGGTCTTGAAGTCTGTGACAGCAATAATGTAACCCTGACTCTGTTCCCAGCTGGGCTTCGACTTCCACCATGCCCAGCCAGGGTACGTGATGATGAGTGTGTGGCTGCCTGCAGACGAACCCAACAACCTGCCTGAGTATGCCAACCAGTATATTGGTAGGTGCCTCTTGCTACTCCTGACTCAGTCAGGCTCATTAAGCAGTATACCCGCTGGCTTTTGAAACTCTAAAAATTAATAGAAACCGTATGAAAATTACCTGCTTTTAGTTTTAACATTAGGGTTGCGACGGGTACTCGAGTACCCGATAACGGGTCGGGTAGCCTAGGACTCGAGTCCAATTTTCAGGACTCGAGTACCTGTTCAGGGGAGATAACTCGTGAGTCACTTCAAAATGGACGACAAAGCGGACAAACGTTCAAATGTTTGGGCGTATTTTGCCCTTGATGACACAAAGAAAAAGACCAAATGCCGTCTCTGTGGCATATGTATCAGCTACGCAGGTAGTTCGACGAGTTCCATGAAAAAGCATCTAAGTTTTAAACACAAGAGCATTTACTTTTGATATTCTGCGTCACTTGTGGTTTTAGGTAAGCCATGCAGGCATTTAATAAAAAACATAATACCTTAGAATAGATCAATAGATGTTTGATGACCTTTTATTCGCAAAAGCATTACAAACAAGTGGGACAACATTGAACTACGGGTGCTTGAGTCCGGTTCGGGTATTGTCTGCCGGGTACTCGAGTTCAGTTTTCGTACCCGGTCGCAACCCTATTCAACATCATGTTCAATTCATCTCTGAAGTAAACTAGTTAGATCTGCACGTCATTCACACAAAGTTTTGTCACAATTTTCTCTTTTGTTTTGAATATTTCGAGACTTAAGTTGCTATGATATTTAACCTAGAAGCAAAGCAATATGTTATTTCCTTGCACCCAAAATAGACAAGGGGATGATAAGAGACAAGCTGACTTTTTCCGAAAAAAATACATGCATGAATATCCCTGATGTTTTGTTCAACAACAAAGGTTTTTTATTTGACGGTCCACGGAGACTGGCAGTCACATGAACTACCCGTCCAAGCCTAATTTTACAAGTAAAAAACTGGTAATTACCAGTAAACGGGGATTTTGGATTAGAATAGGTCCCCACCAGCTTATGATGGTGACCAAATGGACCAAGTAGGCAGATTTGGTGACTTGGTTGATAGCGTTACCTTGAAACTTGATGACATGGATCGTTGTTCGCAATATCAATCACTAGATTGTCTGGTCCCGACACCATTATTTACAGCCCACCGTCATATAGCTGGAATATTGCTGAGTGCGGCATAAAATAACAAACAAACAAACAAATTTACCTCCCTGTCAAGGCGATTCTTTAGTCATGGTATCCTCAGAATTATGATTTTTAATAAGTATAGGTTTGTTCAATGAAACATGTTTCAATCCTAATTTTAATGTAATATGTAAGTAAATGATTTTACATGGAGATTGATTAATTCTTTCTGAAACTATAATAGTTTAATAGTTTCCACATTATCCTTTGTCTCGTCCAGGTGTTGGAGGGTTTGTAGTCAACAGCAAACACCAGGTACTGGCAATACAGGAGAGGTTTCAGAGTCGGCCTCACTGGAAACTTCCTGGGGGACACGCAGACAAAGGTATGCCGGACAGATGAACACATATAGAGAATCTCACCCGCGTGTCTTTGATATCAAATATATCAACACGAGTTGATAAAAGTGGGAAAACTCTGAGGCTTGCAGAGGAGATTTTTCACTTTAATCAACGAGTGTTGATGTATTTGATATCAAAATACATGAGGGTGAGATTTTATTTATCATCCAACTTCATTTTTCAAACCTTTTCAGTTTGTAGACAGTAACATAAGCAGTGTCTTATTGTGAAAAGGACTGCTAACAGCTTCAGTGGCAGAGCCATTAGGGATGTCATTTGATTGTGATGTCATGGTAACCAGACAGGTAGACACGCAGACGGTATCTCAGACAGATAGACACGCAAATGGTATCTCAGACAGGTAGACGTGCAGACGGTATCTCAGACAGGTTGACACGCAGACGGTATCTCAGACAGATAGACACGCAAATGGTATCTTAGACAGGTAGACACGCAGATGGTTTTCTGAGACAGGTGGACACGCAGACTGTATCTCAGACAGATACACGCAAATGGTATCTCAGACAGGTAGACACGCAGATGGTTTTCTGAGACAGGTGGACACAGACGGTATCTGAGCCAGGTAGACATGTTTTCATAATAATACCCATAATCCAAATTTATCTGAAAAATTCAGGCAGGAATCATTTTATGTTTTTTTAAATATCTATTCAGTGTACATTGTAAGGGAATGTTTAACATGGAGCAAGAATGTTTCCTAGGAGTATATATACTGTGTGTTTTATCAAGTTTCCCCTCTGAAGATACAGGTGAGAATTGGTCTTCAGCAACCCATGCTTGTTGTAAGGTGGTGAGGCATAAGGCTTGGTTGATCATGTCATTGTATCCTGATTGCATAAATCGATGCTCATGATGTCCATCATTGGGTTGTCTGGACTAGACTTGATTATTTACAGACTGACGTCATATAGTGTTGCGTGAATAACAAACTGTCAAAGCAAACCAGTCTGTGACTGTGATAGCCCCACTCCTGAGGTCACGACCTCCATTTTGTGTGTTAGGGGGGGTCAGTAGCTTAGTGGTTAAAGCGTTCGCTCGTCACGCCGAAGACCTGGTGTCCCCTGCCGTGATATTGCTGGAATATTGCTGGAATCTTGCTGGAATATTGCTGAAGGCGGCGTAAACCCATAGTCACTCACACACCATGTTGTATTCCGTTTCTCCCTCGGTAAACCTCTACATGGTCAATGTTACTGTTGAACAGGGGAAGACATTGGGGAGACAGCTAAGCGAGAGGTGTTTGAGGAAACGGGTATAGAGTGCGATTTCGAGTCGGTGCTGACTTTCCGCCACCAACACAACTACCGCTACGGCTGCTCCGACATCTACTTTGTGTGCGTGATGAGACCCCGCAGCGACGACCTCAAGCCGTGTAAACATGAGATCGCCAAGTGCCAGTGGATGGATGTAAGTACAGGAGTCATCTGTGTTTTGTATTTCCCTTGCACCAGGTGTTGGTTGTATTATCAGTCTGCCTGAATTGTGAGTCCACCTGTAGTGTGAGTACATCTGTATTGTGAGTACATCTGTAGTGTGAGTCCACCTGTAGTGTGAGTACACCTGTGTTGTGAGTACATCTGTGTTGTGAGTACATCTGTAGTGTGAGTACACCTGTAATGTGGGTACACCTGTTGTGCGAGTACATCTGTAGTGTGAGTACACCTGAATTGTGAGTACACCTGTGTTGTGAGTACATCTGTGTTGTGAGTACATCTGTGTTGTGAGTACATCTGTAGTGTGAGTACACCTGTATTGTGAGTACACCTGTGTTGTGAGTACATCTGTGTTGTGAGTACATCTGTAGTGTGAGTACACCTGTAATGTGGGTACACCTGTTGTGCGAGTACATCTGTAGTGTGAGTACACCTGAATTGTGAGTACACATGTAGTGTGAGTACATCTGTAGTGTGAGTACACCTGTATTGTGAGTACACCTGTGTTGTAAGTACATCTGTGTTGTGAGTACATCTGTAGTATGAGTACACCTGTAATGTGGGTACACCTGTTGTGTGAGTACATCTGTAGTGTGAGTACACCTGAATTGTGAGTACACATGTAGTGTGAGTACATCTGTGTTGTGAGTACATCTGTGTTGTGAGTACATCTGTGTTGTGAGTCCACCTGTGTTGTGAGTACATCTGTGTTGTGAGTACATCTGTGTTGTGAGTACATCTGTGTTGTGAGTACATCTGTGTTGTGAGTACATCTGTGTTGTGAATACATCTGTAGTGTGAGTACAACTGTAGTGTGAGTACATCTGTAGTGTGAGTACATCTGTGTTGTGAATACATCTGTAGTGTGAGTACACCTGAATTGTAAGTACACCTGTAGTGTGAGTACACCTGTATTGTGAGTATACCTGTATTGTGAGTACACTTCTTGTGTGAGTACACCTGTAGTGTGAGTACACCTGTAGTGTGAGTACACCTGTTGTGTGAGTACACCTGTAGTGTGAGTACATCTGTGTTGTGGGTACATCTGTGTTGTGGGTACATCTGCATTGTGGGTACACCTGTTGTGAGTACTCCTCTGTTGTAAGTATACCTGAATTATGAGTACACCTGAATTATGAGTACACCTGTAGCCTGTGCACACCTGAATAGTGAGTACATCTTTGTTGTGAGTACACCTGTGTTGAGTATACCTGAATTATGAGTACACCTGTAGCATGAATACACCTGTATTGTGAGTACACCTGTGTTGTGAAAACACCTGAGTTGAGTACACCTATTGTGAGTACACCTGTATTTTGAGTACACCTGTGGTATAAGAACACCTGTTGGAAGTACACCTGTTGTGAGTACACCTGAAGCATGAGTTCACCTGTATTGTGAGTACACCTGTGGTGTGAGAACACCTTAGTTGAGTACACCTGTTGGAAGTACACCTGTTATGCGTACACCTGTTGTGAGTGCACCTGTAGCATGAGTACATCTGACTTCTGAGTACTAGGGCTGTTACGATTCACTCGCGTATTCGGTGAATCGAACCATATCCATTCATGAATTGAATTTGATATTCGTGGTCATTAGACATACACTGACCCTTAAAATATCCATAAGAACATACTATATGCATAGATTTCTTCAAAGACAACACTCTTTTATCATTTATTTGACAGTAATGTGGTCACTGGTCATTGTCACATTTGAGCAGATACTAGTACCTGTATAAGAGCAGTATATAAATGTATTATATATTAACAATTAACAAACCATGTCAAATAATTTATTTTGATATTGTTTCACAGAATATAATAAATAATACATCAACTCTTGACTTATTATTGTATTTGTGAATAAATATTCGTATTTGTTACCCTACATTCATGATACGAATAGTATTCGCCTCATAGCGTATTCGTTGCAGCCCTAGTGAGTACACATGTGTTGTTAGTACACCTGAAGTTTGAGTACACCTGTCATGTGGGTACACCTGTACTCACCTGAATTATGAGTACACTTGTGTTGTGAGTACACCTGTATTGTGAGTACACCTGAAGTGTGAGTACACCTGTAGTGTGAGTACACCTATGTTGTGAGTACACCTGAAGTGTGAGTACACCTGTAGTGTGAGTACACCTGTGTTGTGAGTACACCGAACACCTGAAGTGTGAGTACACCTGTGTTGTGAGTACACCTGAAGTGTGAGTACACCTGTGTTGTGAGTACACCTGAAGTGTGAGTACACCTGTGTTGTGAGTACACCTGAAGTGTGAGTACACCTGTAGTGTGAGTACACCTGTGTTGTGAGTACACCTGAAGTGTGAGTACACCTGTAGTGTGAGTACACCTGTAGTGTGAGTACACCTGTGTTGTGAGTACACCTGATGTGTGAGGACACACGTAGTGTGAGTACAACTGTGGTGTGAGTACACCTGTAGTGTGAGTATACCTGTGTTGCGAGTACACCTGTGTTGCGAGTACACCTGTAGTGTGAGAACACGTGTGTTGTGAGTACACCTGTGTTGTGAGTACACCTGTAGTGTGAGTACACCTGTAGTGTGAGTACACCTGAAGTGTGAGTACACCTGTAGCGTGAGTACACCTGAAGTGTGAGTACACCTGTAGTGTGAGAACACCTGTGTTGCGAGTACACCGGTGTTGTGAGTACACCTGAAGTGCGAGTACACCTGAAGTGCGAGTACACCTGTGTTGCTAGTACACCTGTGTTGCGAGTACACCTGTAGTGTGAGAACACCTGTGTTGTGGGTACATCTGTGTTGTGGGTACATCTGCATTGTGGGTACACCTGTTGTGAGTACTCCTCTGTTGTAAGTATACCTGAATTATGAGTACACCTGAATTATGAGTACACCTGTAGCCTGTGCACACCTGAATAGTGAGTACATCTTTGTTGTGAGTACACCTATGTTGAGTATACCTGAATTATGAGTACACCTGTAGCATGAATACACCTGTATTGTGAGTACACCTGTGGTGTGAGAACACCTGAGTTGAATGCACCTGTTGTGAGGACACCTATCTTGTGAGTACACCTGTGTTGTGAAAACACCTGAGTTGAGTACACCTATTGTGAGTACACCTGTATTTTGAGTACACCTGTGGTATAAGAACACCTGTTGGAAGTACACCTGTTGTGAGTACACCTGAAGCATGAGTTCACCTGTATTGTGAGTACACCTGTGGTGTGAGAACACCTTAGTTGAGTACACCTGTTGGAAGTACACCTGTTATGCGTACACCTGTTGTGAGTGCACCTGTAGCATGAGTACATCTGACTTCTGAGTACTAGGGCTGTTACGATTCACTCGCGTATTCGGTGAATCGAACCATATCCATTCATGAATTGAATTTGATATTCGTGGTCATTAGACATACACTGACCCTTAAAATATCCATAAGAACATATTATATGCATAGATTTCTTCAAAGACAACACTCTTTTATCATTTATTTGACAGTAATGTGGTCACTGGTCATTGTCACATTTGAGCAGATACTAGTACCTGTATAAGAGCAGTATATAAATGTATTATATATTAACAATTAACAAACCATGTCAAATAATTTATTTTGATATTGTTTCACAGAATATAATAAATAATACATCAACTCTTGACTTATTATTGTATTTGTGAATAAATATTCGTATTTGTTACCCTACATTCATGATACGAATAGTATTCGCCTCATAGCGTATTCGTTGCAGCCCTAGTGAGTACACATGTGTTGTTAGTACACCTGAAGTTTGAGTACACCTGTCATGTGGGTACACCTGTACTCACCTGAATTATGAGTACACTTGTGTTGTGAGTACACCTGTATTGTGAGTACACCTGAAGTGTGAGTACACCTGTAGTGTGAGTACACCTATGATGTGAGTACACCTGAAGTGTGAGTACACCTGTAGTGTGAGTACACCTGTGTTGTGAGTACACCGAACACCTGAAGTGTGAGTACACCTGTGTTGTGAGTACACCTGAAGTGTGAGTACACCTGTGTTGTGAGTACACCTGAAGTGTGAGTACACCTGTAGTGTGAGTACACCTGTGTTGTGAGTACACCTGAAGTGTGAGTACACCTGTAGTGTGAGTACACCTGTAGTGTGAGTACACCTGTGTTGTGAGTACACCTGATGTGTGAGGACACACGTAGTGTGAGTACAACTGTGGTGTGAGTACACCTGTAGTGTGAGTATACCTGTGTTGCGAGTACACCTGTGTTGCGAGTACACCTGTAGTGTGAGAACACGTGTGTTGTGAGTACACCTGTGTTGTGAGTACACCTGTAGTGTGAGTACACCTGTAGTGTGAGTACACCTGAAGTGTGAGTACACCTGTAGCGTGAGTACACCTGAAGTGTGAGTACACCTGTAGTGTGAGAACACCTGTGTTGCGAGTACACCGGTGTTGTGAGTACACCTGAAGTGCGAGTACACCTGAAGTGCGAGTACACCTGTGTTGCTAGTACACCTGTGTTGCGAGTACACCTGTAGTGTGAGAACACCTGTGTTGTGGGTACATCTGTGTTGCGAGTACACCTGAAGTGTGAGAACACCTGTAGTGTGAGAACACCTGTGTTGCAAGTACACCGGTGGTGTGAGTACACCTGAAGTGCGAGTACACCTGTAGTGTGAGAACACCTGTGTTGCGAGTACACCTGTAGTGTGAGTACACCTGTAATGTGAGAACACCTGTGTTGTGAGTACACCTGTAGTGTGAGTACACTTGTGTTGCGAGTACACCTGAAGTGTGAGTACACCTGTAGTGAGAGTACACCTGTTTTGTGAGTACACCTGTAGTGTGAGTACACCTGTGTCTTCCCTTGCAGCTGGATGAGTACATAAACCACAAGGAGATGTCGGTGGGCAACCGTCACATCGCCCAGTGCTACAAGGACAGCTTGAGTCAGGGCGGCCTAGCACTTGTACCCAGTCCAGTCATCTCATTCTCTGGCAAGGTGTACAACAAGATGTACAGCGTCCAACACAAGGATAAAGTCCAGACCAATATAGACTAGTGAGGTGTTAGCTATAGCATCAGCGGGGGGCGCAGTCGTCTAAGGCGCTGCAATTTGCTGTGCAGAGTTGCGTCCCTTGGACACGCCAGAAACCTATGATTGTGGGTCCGAATCCCGGTTTGATTATGTTTCTAGGTTGGTCAGCACCATACCTGTGCTCATGGGTTTCACCGAAGTGGTAAACGTCTGAGACCTGCATCACTTCGGGCTTTCCTCCAACATTAAGCTGACACGCCGCGATATAACTGGAATAATGTTAAAAGCGGCGTTTAACCCAACTCACTCACTCACTATAGAATCAGCACGTCAATCAACCAGCCACTTATACTTATTTTGTATAATCATAATTAGTAGGACTACACTTTTCAAACGATACTTACTGCAATACTTTTTCTGTGCTCCGGTATATTGGGTGTAAAATTTATAACGGGTCTTTTTGTATTGTGTAACCTAAAATCGACACAGACATTCATTCATTCATGTGTGCCAGGTGTTTGGCCATCCTATCTATGAAAAAAATGGCTCACGCACCACAGAATAGTGCACATGCAAGTATCGTGATACGTATCGGATCGTGAGCAAGGTATCGTGATACATATCGGATCACACAGTTGGTGTTCGTCCCAGCCCAACAAATGAGGCTTCCTTTTGAAATTGATTGACAAAACAGCATAAACGTGGAAGCAATTTTTCTCTCATGTTGGCTGCAAATGACCAGGTTGACTTTGACATCATAATATTTATTTTAGTATGGAGAAATAGGATCTGCATGTACAATCAGTGCCAATCCGTGTCAAACACTTTAGCTCCCAGTACTCAAGAAATAAACGATGAGAGGGAGTTGTTTATTGTCCATTAAAACACTGCAGAGAGAACAAACTATGAAAGGCACCAAGAGTTTCTTTGAGTGGCATTTAGAAGTTGGTGTTATGAAGTAAGACGAGTTCTATGGATGAACAACTTCTTTATTACAATTAGTGCGACGTTTTGGTGCAGATCTTAACACCTTTATCAAGCAATATCACTTGCTTGATAAAGGTGTTAAAGAGTTGTTTATTGTCTTATATGAGATATCAACATTTTGTACGGCCCTCTTTGACGATGTTAATAGAATGTACAAGCTTTGAACATATTTACCCATATTTAAATAATGACTCCCTGAATACAATCCGGTGTCAGACAAGTCCATTTTATGAACAGGGGGGTTACATTTTTTTATTCCCGGGATATTTTCACAATTTTCACATCTTTTCTATGTACCTTTTCTCCAAATACAGATTGTCATATCTCTCCCCCTTTTGAATGAGATTGTTCGGCCATTGCATTCATCTACGGTAGCCAGCTACATCTATCTACATCTCACTTGACACTTTCCTCTCAAAAATAACATCGTCCAATTTATGAATTTACGACGTCATCAAGTTGCGTGCACACATTTGAATCTCCAGAAATGACATCATGATAGAACAATATTTTATCGTGAAATAAGGCATGCTTCGTTGATCTTTGTGATTTATTGCATCGTTAACTTATATATCGCAATACATATCACAATACAGATACCTGTATCACAATATATTGCAATTCTTACCCTGTAGATTGTATATCATTGAATATAAGATACTGTATTCGACGTAATAAGCGCCCCGCTCTAATAAGCGCCCACGGTGATATTTGCTAATATATTGGCTAGTGAACAATCCCAATTGGCACCCCTTCCGATTGATCAATGTACACAAGACTTATTTTTTTCGCGAATAATACACACACATGTGTTAAATGCACCCTTAATTATGGGCAATTAAATTCTGGAAAAATATATCTGTCGTACATAAACATTTCAGGCTGTCAGCATAAACCACGAAATTTATCTTTCAAGTCTGTTTCTAATAAGAGCCCCCTATTTCTAATTTTGAGAGCGCCCTGGGCGCTTATTATGTCGAATACGGAAGGTCCGCATTAAATCACAAAGAACAATGAAGAGCAAAGCGTTGTATATTTCACAACAAGCCATTGTTCTATCATGACGTCATTTTTGGAGATTGGAACATATGCTAGCAACTTGATGACTTCATAAATTGGAAGACATTTTTTTGGAGAGGGAAGTGTCTAGTCACTTGTTCCCTATAGATGTAGCTGGGCAACTAAAACAAACGAAGTGGACAAACAATCTCCTCCAAAAGTGGGAGAGATATGACAATCGGTATTGGTAGAAAAGGTACAGATAATCGACGTGAGGACTGTTAGAATATGCGAGAAATACCAAACTTAACCCACCTGTTCATGAAATGGACTTGTCCGTTTTTGCCGAGGCCAGATTCTATTCAGGAAGTCATAATTATTAAAATACATAATCTTGATATCTCATATAAGAAAAAAACACCTTGCACCAATGGTTTATTCTCCCTGCAGTGTTTTATTGTACGATAAACAACAAAACAACACCCACTCATAATCTGTTTCTTGAATAAAGGTGAGCTTCTGTACCTGTGATATCTCTGGTTTGATATCGCTTTTCAGGAAAACAATTAATGTATGTCCATATAAATTGTCAGGGTAGCCATATTGAACATTTATGTGTCCATGTGATCTCTGTTCTCTAGTTAGTAGGTACGTAATGTACTCTTGTTTGTTAAACATGTCCTTTGTTTATGAAGATTGTATTAATCTACGTGACATGTCAATGGGAGTTACCCATTTTAACATATATAGGAGCCATCTTGAAAATTTCTTTAGACATAATGTCATGCAATTCTGTACATATCAATGTCGAATTTGCTATACCGTATTCACCGTATTGAACACCCTACTCCAATAAGAGCCCCAGACTAATCGGTAATCTTTACAACTGAGTCTATATTTTTCTGTGTTTAACAAAAATCAGCAGTGTTGAAAGGGTATATTATTGACTTGTAGTTACCATGGTTACATGAATTAACAAAAAACGTTTTAGTTTCATCTATGTTTGAACTAAGTTTGTACATTACTGCAAAATCTTATGAAACAATATTTTTTTGTTTAGTTTTAATAAGCACCCCCTTTATCAATTTTTCAAGTGCCTGGGGGTCTTATTATAGTAAATACGGTATGTTGTATATGCAAACTCCAGTGTCTGCATATTGTAAACGTTCACAGTTTGACATATTTGAAACTCAAGTGTCTGCATATTGTAAATGTTCACAGTTTGACATATCTGAAACTCCAGTGTCTGCATATTGTAAATGTTCACAGTTTGCCATATCTGAAACTCCAGTGTCTGCATATTGTAAATGTTCAGTTCGCCATATCTGAAACTCCAGTGTCTGCATATTGTAAACGTTCACAGTTCGCCATATCTGAAAATCCAGTGTCTGCATATTGTAAATGTTCACAGTTCGCCATATCTGAAACTCCAGTGTCTGCATATTGTAAACGTTCACAGTTCGCCATATCTGAAACTCCAGTGTCTGCATATTGTAAATGTTCACAGTTCGCCATATCTGAAACTCCAGTGTCTGCATATTGTAAATGTTCACAGTTTGCCATATCTGAAACTCCAGTGTCTGCATATTGTAAATGTTCACAGTTTGCCATATCTGAAACTCCAGTGTCTGCATATTGTAAATGTTTACAGTTTGACATATCTGAAACTCCAGTGTCTGCATATTGTAAATGTTCAAAGTTTGACATATCTGAAACTCCAGTGTCTGCATATTGTAAATGTTCACAGTTTGACATATCTGAAACTCCAGTGTTTGCATATTGTAAACGTTCACAGTTTGACATATCTGAAACTCCAGTGTCTGCATATTGTAAATGTTGACAGTTTGACATATCTGAAACTCCAGTGTCTTCATATTGTAAATGTTCACAGTTTGCCATATCTGAAACTCAAGTGTCTGCATATTGTAAATGTTCACAGTTTGACATATCTGAAACTCCAGTGTCTGCATATTGTAAATGTTCACAGTTTGATATATCTGAAACTCCAGTGTCTGCATATTGTAAATGTTCACAGTTTGACATATCTGAAACTCCAGTGTCTGCATATTGTAAATGTTCACAGTTTGACATATCTGAAACTGCAGGGACTGTGAAACTATGGAGGACGTGCAGTGGTGAACTGCTAAGGCTGAAAAAATAAAAGAATTGATTCTCAGGGAATGACTTTTGAAAACAGTGCGGGGTGAGTGGTGTTTTGGGGTTTTTTTTTTGCTTGTTCAAACTAGTATGTAACCAAACATACAGTTGTGTACCATCAACCTGGGAAAGGGCCTTCCTACATAAACAAGCATACAAACTCCTATTGCCGCCATGACCATAACACGAGATGTGCAGTAAAGCAGTGCACATGTAAAGGGAGGTAACTGCATGCTATAGTGGATCGCATTATTTTTAAGTATTTGGATTTTTGGATTTTTTTAATAATATGATGATGCGGGTGGCGCCTGAGAACCAAGACTTCTATTTTTTTACACAATTTTGAACATTTGTTGTAGCTGTTTATATATGGTGCAGATACTCTGAGCATCTCACTCACAAGGAATCATGCTCAACTTCAAGGTCAAGGTTGTGTATTCCCAATCAGCATGTGGAACTGTTCCTAGTCTCAATAAGGTCGATGTGTATAAACAGAGCTTATTTTTCTGTCTCAGTCATGAGATCTCATTTCACAATATATAGTTAACTGTAAGATTTTAAGCATATCATGAATGTGTGAAGGATATATATATCTTTTGGTATATAATATACCCATGAAGATGCTTGTCGTAAAAGGCGACTAACGGGATAGAGTGGATTGGTTGATGCATGTCACCGTATCCCAATTGTGTGGAAAGATGCTCATAAAGTCAATCAGTGGATTGTCTGGCCCAGACTCCATTATTTAGAGACAGCCATCATATAGTTGAAATATTGCTGAGTGCAGTATTAAATGACAAAAAACAAACAAAATGATATCTAATATAGCAACACAAGTTGATAACAAATTATACAAGACATTAAAAACAAAAGAGTGAGATTCCGTTTATCATCCATAATCATGCTGTCAATATTCAAGCTGTTTTAGTCACCAAACAATTGTTTATTTCAAGAAAATTTCTGAAAAGCAATGGGGGCACGATGTCCCAGTCATCTTAGGCGCTGCAATTCCCTGTGCAGAGTTGCGTCCCTTAGGCATCCCGGAAACCTGTGATTGTGGGTTCGAATCCCGGTTCACCCTGATCATGTTTCTAGGTTTGTCAGCACCATGCCTGTGCTTGTAGATTTCACCAAAATGGTAAATGTCCAACACCTGCATCCCTTCGGGCTTTCCTCCCACATTAAGCTGACAGACCCTGATATAATTGGAATACTGTTCAAAGCGGTGTTACACCGAGCATTCCCTCCTATTAAAAGGCAGTGTTGACAAATCTGATATCATAAGATTGCGATTTGTGTATTGTATTTTCAGCAATTTGTTTTTGTCTTGAATCAGTTCCATATACCGTGGAAACATATTGATGTTCCTTTCTGAAAATAGCAAGCAGTTAATGAAATGACTAAGAATTATAATGTAATGAAAATATTAAATGAAAATTCTTTAAATGAAAAGAATTGGTTCTCAGGCAATGGCTTTTGAAAACAATGTGCGGGCGATGGTTTTTCTTTCTTTTTTGTTCAAGCTAGTATGTAATCAAATTTTGTTAACATTAATTTCGGCAAAATCATGTTCTTCTTAAGTATTGTAGCATTTCACTGCCACGGTCATGTGGTCGAGACACCGAATATTTAAAGAATTTATTTTTTGAAAATGGAAATAAAAACAAAACGTGCGGCGGACGTTATGATGATGCGGGCGGTGCCTGATAACCAAGACCATTATTTTTTTTAGTCTTCCGGGTGTAGATTTAATACAAAGAACTTGCATTTGGTATTGATATTGTCTGAAAAGTGTATTTCATATTACAGTAAATTCGGGAACAAATGTTGTCTGGTGATGGTT